AAATATAAAACAACAAAACAATGTTGTGTCAAAATAAAAATAGTTTGATGACCACGAAAAACTGAAATCAGTGATTTTCGCTAGAAGTCACTGATTAGCTGAATTATTTTTTTTTATTGTAAGCAGTAATTATTTTTTATTTAGTACTTAAACCAACACAAAGCTATCCTACCTTTCATTAGATTTTTTACTAATTTTTGAGGACCGTCAGAAATTGTGGGCCCTCTAGGCCCATGCCCATTGGGCCTAGGTGATAATCAGGCTCTGAATACGCCTCTGGCCACAGGGTAATCGAATCTCGACGAAGATTTTTCACGTTCCCATCTCAAATGCCGGAGAACAACTTCTTACTTCATTGTACACTAAAGAACGAAGAGCCAGGAAAAAAAATTACATATTTGTCTAATATCGTGTTGGACCCCCGCGAGCACTCAGTGCCATACCACAACGTGCCGTACAAAGTATTCGCAGTCTCGTCTAATATTTGAAGGTATGCTGATAGGCAATCCAAACAACAATGACTCTGACTCTTTCAGGGCAGTCCACAAATAAATCGAAGTGCGTGTTAGAAGAGATCATTTTCATAAACAGCGTCTTACAAAGGCGTCTAAGATATGTCCAATAATGCTCAAGCTTGGAGATTTAAGTGGCCAATGGAAGTTTTTAAAGTTAGGAGAGTGATTCTGGAGAAACTCGGTAGCAATTCTCGACAAATGGGGATAAATATATGCGTGTTCGCATCGCGCAACAAATTTTTATAAAACACTCTGTACTTGTCATTTTTATGCCCTCTTTGCTATTCCTCAACAAGGGAGAGCTGTATTGCCGTAAAATCAAAAATTTAGTGTAAGCGACGAAAAATTCAAAATTGAGATTTTTAAACATTTAGCATTTTTGCATGATAGGCTGCATGTTCAAAAAAAAAAGCTTCCCTTTCCTTTTTCAAATTTTTTTTTTTTATAAGTCTTCTGATTTTAGCCGTGGAACGAAACAAGCAACTTAACCTGAAATTTATCGTGGAGTCTTTGCGACCAATGGCAACACCAGGCGTGCTTTCCGTACATGCGCTGTATAAAGCAACTACTTCAATTACTTTTATCTGGCGCAGTTTTTATTATAATTTTTTTTAAGTTTAAAGCAATAATTTCGTTATCAGTTTAAAATTGATTCAAACACTTTATTTAATTTTTTTTAAATATTTAAGCTGTGATAAAAAGTGGCACTAGACTTGGTATATATTTCGGACATTTACCAAAGGTGTAGTCATACTAGGTCTGGTTAAGTGCCATTGTCCGGTATACCCTACACTGATGTTTCTTTAAGATTCAGTGCCACTGTTCGGTATACATTTTCCCGGTATACCCTACACTGATATTTTTTAAGGTCAAGCGCCACTGTCCGGTATACCCTACACTGATGTTTTCTTAAGGTCAAGTGCCACTGCCCGGTATACCCTACACTGGTGTTTTTTTAAGGTCAAGTGCCACTGCCCGGTATGCATTTGCCCGGTATACTCTACACTGATGTTTTTTTAAAGTCAAGTGTCATTGCCTGGCATATATTTGCCCGATACTCCAAACATTGATGTTTGTTCTAATCTATCGTTAGTAAGTATTAAAATATCGAATAAATGTAATTATATCCACGAATAAATTAATACCAAATCGGATGTGATAAATATGTTTGTTTGGTCTNGCTTAATTTTTTTTTTGCTTTATCTCTAATTTGTTCTATTATGATGCGAAGAGGATTTTTCATAATTTGATTTTATTAAATAGACCAGTATGTATTCGGACCTACAACGCAATATGCAACGCAATTTTTTTGCAATGTTGCCAAAAGCGTTAAATAGTTCAAACTATGTTTTTATTTCGTATTGTATAACAAAAGAAAGAGAATCTAAATATTTCAGGAAGGGAGCAAGGACGTGATTTGGCATAGGCGCATCTTTCCATAGATACGCCCAGGGACTGATTAAGACAAATTCAGGCCCAAGACCCACCAAATTCTCCGCGTCCCTTACAAAATATTTTGAAATTAAATTACTGAAGTTTACATAATACTTTGAGTAATTAGTCCAAACAATAGAAAAGAATCTATCGAACTTCATGATTCAAGATGAACATTTTAAGAAATTTTGAAAGCAGACAATTGAAGATTATTTTTTTAAGATAAAGTTTACGTATCTATAAATTAAAGCAAAATATAAAACAACAAAACAATGTTATGTCAAAATAAAAATAGTCTGATGACCACACACAATTGAAATCAGTGATTTTCGCTAAAAGTCACTGATTAGTTGAATTATTTTTTATTGTAAGCTGTAATAATTTTTTATTTAGTACTTAAACCAACACATAGCTATCCCACCTTTAATTAGATTTTTTACTAATTTTTGAGGCCCTCAGAAATTGTGGGTCCTAGACCCATGCCTGGGCCTAGGTGATAATGAGGTGATAAAATTTCGTAAACAGCGCCTTACAAAGGCACCCCAGATATGTCCAATAATGCTCAAGCTTGGAGATTTAAGTGACCAATGGAAGTTTTTAAAGTTAAGAGAGTGATTCTGGAGAAACTTGGTAGCAATTCTCGACGTATGGGGATAAATATATGCATGTTCGCATCACGCAACGAATTTTTATAAAATATTCTCTACTAGTCATTTTGATGACCTCTTTTTGCTATTCCTCAACAAGGGACAGCAGTACTGCCGTGATATCAAAGTATTAAAAAAAAAGCTTCTCTTTCCTTTTTCAAAAATTAATTTTTTTATAAGTCTTCTGAGATTCTATTTTAGGTGTGGAAGGAAAATATCTTTCTTGCAACTTAACTTGAAATTTATCGTGGAGTCCCTGCGTTTTATTTTATTTTATTGCATGGCAGAATATGACTTTAATTTTTCACTCGCAACCAGCAATACCGGTGACGCATAGCAAAACCCTTTACCAATGGCAACATCAGGCGTGCTTTCACCATAAGTGATAGCGTGTGGATAGTTACAGGAGAAGGAAGTACATTAGTTTCTGTCTTGATTTTCAAACTGATGTAAATTTTTTTAAACTTCGAAACTACATGGAACTCAAAATTGCATTAAACATATTTCTTAATTTAAGCCTTATGAACATTATAAAAAATATTTTTGATAATAAGAACGGGAAAATATTTTGAAAGTGAAACCTTATAATACATTCCCATACATCAGAGCAGAGGAAAGTAGGGAGGCTCTAGACATGAAGTCCCACCGTGGACTGATCGTTAAGACACGATTCCCGGTAGAACATCTAAGTCAAGCATCACTGGTAGCGGTCAGTAAGCTGACGAGTTCCACTTTAATTAGCCTGAGTAGCAACCGAGGGTGCGAGGGATCGGTCCTCATTAAAACTGTTTTACCATTAAGTATTCAACTTCACTTGTAAGTCGTCGGGCTATTACAGCGAGGGACAGGGGCTGCAAAACCGGGGCCAGAGAAGGCTTTAAATTTTTTTGTGTGTATTAATTCTAAAAAAATGTATCTATTTCAAACGAGCTTTAATATTTCCTTGGTGATAACTGCTACAAAATCATCCCGGGGAGATTTCCGTATCTTGATCTGTAGCGGAATAATCGCCAAGTATTGGAAACTTCCGGGTAGCGTCCCGCACGAAACTAAAAAAAACATCACAGAAAGGGAACATATCGAAAGGTATAACTCGTAACCACCAAACATCCACATGTTTTTTTTATTTTTAAATTTCCAAGTTTAAAATCTATTTGGCATGGCGATTGTAGTTGGCGCGAAGGATCACGATACGAAAATATCCCCCGTTATTTAATTTAATTTTAAAACAATTCCATTAGTAGGTAGGTACTTTATTTACGTCGCACAAGAGCTGCACAATGGGCTACTGGCAATGGTCTGGGAAACATCCCTGAGCATGATCTGAAGACATACCATTGCAATTTTGATCCTCTTCAGAGGGGATGGCCCCCCTGCTTTGATAACCCGATGACCTATTCGCGAAGTCAAGCACTTAAATCATAAAAAATTGCTATTTTGGGAAGTTTAGGAAATTCGGACCGGGTTAATACAAATATATATATAGATATAGATGTTCATAGAGAGCTCGCCTCCCAATGAAGTGAAACGGGTTCGAATCTTGGCAATGGCAGGTTAATTCGAATTCCGTATCCGGCTCGCAACCAACCACAGTGCTGACGTAAAATATCCTCAGTGGTAGACTGATCATGGGTTAGAGTCCTCTTGACGTCAGGCTGACCATGGGAGATTTTCTTGGTTTTCCTCTCCATGTAAATGCGGGTTAGTTCCATCAAAAAGTCCTCCGCGAAGACGCATTTCTCTCAAAACTTGATCTAGGAGTTCCCTTGTTTCTGGATTGGATTCAAAATCACAAGGAGACGGAGGTGAGCATTGGTAGTCCTGAACTGAAAATTCGGTCGACTGTTCACCGACGGTTATAAAAGTAAATAAATAGCTGGGGAGATTTTCGTATTCGCAGTATAATCACCAAGGCTTAGCAATTTTCAGGCAGCGGCCTGCTAGAGACGGAAAAAAAANTCATAATTAAAAAAAAAAATAAAAAAAAAAACATCACAGAAAGGAACCAACTCGAAATGTGGAAAACATCTACTTGTTCTTTCATTTTTTTTTTAATTGAAAGTTTAATATCTATTTGGCACCTTGGCGATTGTAGTTGGAGCAACATTGGAAATAATCCCAAAAAGCTCATGGCGCAGCTCTAGTGCGACTTAAATATCTACCTTCCAATCTAGGCATGGAACCAGTCTTCTCTGCAGATTGCGTATTAGAGTGGTTTCAAAATTAAGAAGTAAAGTTCGGGGAGCAATTTCAAAATTTTACATGTTCTTGGTTCCAAACACTTTCAATCAAATTTGAAAAACAAATCAGGAATAGTTTTAGCATAAGATATTGCGAAGCGCCATCTGTAGGCTTTTTCAATAACGAGATTTGTATCCATTTTAGAAAATAAAAGGAGCCAATGAAGTTTCAGTTTGCGATAAAGAAATTCTGATTGGTCAAAATCCTTTTTTATTTTTATTGTGCCATTAGTGAGGCGAAGTGGCGGAATATTGTTTTGTTTACTAAGTTAACTGTCACTGCACGATGTGAACGACGGTTGCAAGAGAAGGAAAGTAAAGAGAAGATGCAAATGTCTCCGTTGTTATTTGGATTCATTTTCTTTTATGCAGTATTCGTGTGTTTATATATTCATCATTAACTAGATATAAAAAATGATTCATGAAAAAAAGAAGCAAAGCCTGCTATCTTGGGTGAGTAAATATCTGTTTTAATAATATTTCATAATGCAGTTTTTTCAAAATGTCTTGTTCTGTTTTATTCCTTTATTAGAAAGGTTATAAATCTTTGTTAAGTTATTCAATGTGCAACTTAAGGAATAGCACTTTGTTTACTATTTGTTTAATTTGTGCGACTGACAGTTTTGATGAACTATGTTTTAATTTCAATATGGCCAATCGCTTAGATGCCTGATTCGATTCGTGAATATTTTGACAGAGCAGTTGTATCTGCTAAGTCCTTATGCAGAATATTTTTTCTATTTTATGAGATTATAGGCCCCGTTTGTCATAATTGTGTGTGTTATAATAGTTTAAAACTAATTTTCCTGCAAATTATTTGTTTTTCTTTATGGTGCAACAGTTGAAACTTCTTGATTAAGGATATTTGTTTGTATTTTTTATTTACTGAGCTATCACATATGTAGCTTTATTTTATCACATTGTAGCTTTAATTGTCAAGATTTATTCTTCTAACACTTTTAAGTATTTTTAAATTTATTTTCTGTTACTATCTTAATTGAGCAAGAACAGGAACTGAAGGAATACTAGAACAAGAACAAGAAGCTTTTATTAAATTGCTTATCATCGTTTCATATTAACATTACAAAAAAATCTCAATGATTTATCAATTTATTACTTTTATTAACCTTCTTTAAGACATTTTGTGTACCTTTTTAGTATAAAATATATTATTCTTGATTTCATTATTATATCTATATTTTTGTAAAATTAATTATGAGTCTTGTCTGAATTATCAATGAAATCAGGGTGAGAAAATTAGTTGTACTTTAAAGTCGCATACTTTTTCAACAAAAAAAGTGATAATTTTCAACTGTAATGAGCAAGTATAATATTTCATATATTTTAATTTAGATATAAGAATAAGGCATAACTAAAAAAATTTATGGTAAAATTTTTCCCCTAGTGATAAAATTGGAGAAACAGTTTAAAATCACATGAAGTATCTTGTTTGTGTCTAATGACGAATTTTTGACATGAATTTGTAAGAACGAAGCGCAAATTCGGGTATACTTCGAGAACGAGAGACTCAAAGAAATATTCTGTAATAAATGCTTTGCCTGTAAAAAAAAAGTATAAAATTGATTGTTGTGTGTGTATAAAATGGAAGTATAAAATGATTGTATTGTGGTGAAAGTATAAAATTGATTATTGAAAAATAATTCTGAGCCTTTAATAGAAACAAAAATAATGTTTGTTTTCTCAATTTTTTAAAACTGATTTAGTGCATTTTGTCCCATACTCTGATTCGATGTGGTATTTTACTCCCCTTTTCTTTGTTTGGTTACAATTTTTATTTAGATAATGATTTTATTAAGAATTAATATTTTTAGTAATATATCATGAAACTGAAAATTTTGGATCCTGTATTTGCTACTGATTTTCATGCGGTCTTTAAAGGCCTGATATTTCCATGCGGAATTATTATGACTGGAGAAATTCTAAACATAAAAATTAGCACATTTAAATATTTTAAATTTGCTGAGTAGATGTTGTTTTTCGATCTTTTTTTCTGTCACATAATTTTTATAAAATACTGATATAATTGAAATATATTTCATATGATCTCGATTTATTCGATGGGAAATTTGAATTACGCATCTGAATATTTGCGATAATTTCTATTTTCTAGCAGCTGTTCGCTTCTGATTTTCACATAGATTTAAAAATAATTTATTTAATCGTTTTATTAAATATTTTCGGTAACATACTATTTATGAATGGGAACCTTGAAACGTGCATTTTATCCCTGTTTTGATGCGTTCAATTCGTGTGATTTCCTCGTAAATGTGGTTTTTTTTCAACCTTCCTTTTTTAGTTCACACTCTTGAATGTGAAGATAACAACTCATCAAAAAAAAAAAAAGGTAATTTCAAAAGGAATAAGTAATTTTTTTTCAAGATAAGGGTATATTGACCTCAATGGTAGTCAACCTCAATCATGTTTTTAAAGAGTAGTTAATTTTTTTTTTCCTCTTTGTTGCATTTGAGAGCAGTTAATAAGGTACTTAAAATTAAATCTATCCTATATTTAAATTTTTATTTTAAACATGTTTATAATTATATTTATTATTGCTCCATGCTATCCTTTTCTCACGCAAATTAGAACTTAAATTTAATATTTTTTAAAATATTAAGTAGACTATCTTTTCCTTGGCTAGAAATTAGAAATTCCTGACAAAAATGTTTTTCATATTGTCACTACCTGAAAAAAGTATTTGTTGAGAATGATCAAATTACTATTATTGGTTTTTGAAGATTTAAAGAAGAACCCTCATCAGACCACAATTAATTTCATGCCTTTGGCCTCTAGTTTAATCTATATATTTTTTTTAATAAAAAAAAACTCATTGTTTTCTTATAGGTGCAAAGTGCTGGAGGTCATGATGTGACATCTTTTTCTCAGCTTAGTGATGGGAAGCTTTTGAATGAACTAGTTGTGACACTGTAAGTTATTAGACTATAGTTATATTGCTATCATTATTCATTGATCTATTAGATGTATGGTTGGCTAGCTGTTTTAAACCAATTTAAAAATAAAAAATAAAAAACTACTTTTTTTAAAGAATTTTTTTTAATAATTAATCCCTAATTAGTGAAGTATTTACAGTTTGATTATAATTAAATGAAAAAAAGATCTATTTTCTTAGAAAAACTTTTTTAATTTGAAGCTTAAATGTAATTATTGCATGAATGTTTTTAATGTTTATTATTTTATATGATGCTGCATTATATTACAGGGTTCCTTAAAAGTCCTTAAAAACTGCTTGATTTTTATTTTGGAAAATAAGGCCCTTCAAAGTACTTAATTTTGGTTCATGGTTTTTAAAAGTACTTAATTTTGGTTCAAGGTTTTTAAGAGTCCTTAATCTTTCAGCATAACTAAGGTTGATAGGAATAATTTTTCAGTTCAAAGTTTTAAAAGTTTCAGTTATACTAGTAACATATCTGCTTATAGGAATTAAGTAAAACGCTAAGAAAAGAAGTATCAGAAATTTTTTTTGAACTGGAATCCATAACCATATCTGCTAACCTTCCATCCTTTCGAGGATAATTTTCCTCAGTGGCAGTAAAATGGAATTTAAATTGCAATTTTAGACAGAAACATTCACTGTAATTTGAAAAAGCTTATGCGGACTACCCTGACAGTATTACGTGCTTAACTTAATTTTTTTAAAAAATAGTGGTAGTCAAAAATATTATGAATTAAGTTTATAAATGTAAGGAATATATAGAAAGCATACATTTTACTACCACTTTAATGATAGAAATAAAGTTTTATGCCAAATGCATGAAAGTTGGCAGGTAGGCATAACGAAAACTATTTCCTAAATTCTTGAAGAATTAAATAAATTTGTATAATATTTCACTTTGTAATAAGTAACTGTAAACTTATAAAAAGCATAAAAATTTTTAAAATTCATGATTGTACTAAATATTAAACAGATTTGCAAGAAGCAGGGTTTGAAAAATCCCAGCCCATCTAGGTGTTTCATCAAAAACCTGAGGTTTATTGGGTTTTTGATGAAAACCTGAAGTTTTTTTTTTTTTCAAGAATAATTTGAATTTTTTTTCCTGAGTAATAACTAAGAAAGCATGATTTGCTTCAAACAAGAAAGTAAAATGTGTGGTAACTAGTTATAATTTGTTTTGTTGCAATGTAAATTTTTTTTAAAGTTTTAGATTGTTACGCTATTATTTTTATTTCTTAAGGATAAGCAAATTGTTACTTAAAAATTTAAGTCTACTCAACTATAAAAGATCCTTAGATTTTAATAATCATTTTATTCAGTTGACATTGCAACCTAATATTCTAATTTACATTTTTGTTCAATTTTTGGTTGTTTTAAAATTCATGCTTTTCGCAGAATGTTTAGCTACATAATGTAAAATTAATTTCTAATAACAAGTTTGGCTAGAAATAATTTTATTAAGGTTCATCATAAAAGTAAATATAACACATTTGCTGGTCTAGTAGCAAAGTATAAAAACTTGTTGAAATAGTTTTTTTTTTTTTGAAATGTTTTACAATTCCATTTAAATGAAATCATTAAAAATGGAATACAGATTAGTTTCATAAATTAAGTTTTACAATCTTGATAAGGTTAACTTTTAACAATCTGAAAATGTTTTTTAAAAAAACCGACACAGACTTGCGAAAATTGCCTGGTACTTTTTTGCCATGCCCTGTTAATAATAAAATTATATCAGTGCTTACATTATAATAAAATCGTATTTTATTATTTTTTTATTTATTGATTTTTTAGGAAGGTAAATAATTTGCACTGTCACTGGGGGCATATGTATATTCGATGGTAAACAATCATACTACTTTTAAAGTTCTTAATTCTTCAAAACAGTACTTAATTTTTTTAAAAAAAGTACTTAATTTTTTAAAAAAATTCTTTAAAGGTGCTTAAATTTTGCTTTGTTGAAAGAATGGAAGCCCTGTATTAACAAGCATATTTTCATACTTAAAGCTCCATTATGTTAAGTTGTTAAGATAATTGACAAAAGATCATTTTATTCATTTATTATTGCATCATTAGTACTAAAGTATGCTTTTATTATTTTAAGATAGATATTATGTAAAATGTTCCATGGTCTATTAAATAAAAATTTGTATTGAACTAATAAATAGATTGTTTCAAGTGTATTTAGAGCAAGAGGAAGAATTACTTTTTCACATTATGTTATATAAATACAGGGATCTGTCCAGGGCAAATTTACTGCCGTTAAGCGGTAGCTTCACAAATTCAATTTTAGGAAAAACGGTAGTTTCACAAATTCAAGTTAAAGGAAAACGGTAGTTTCACAAAATACTTTTAACATATTTNTTTTCACTAGCCGCAATCCGGAAGTTTCAAGAAATCATCAACCACATTTATTTATGAATTCTTGTATATTTTATTTGAAGATATTAGAAATAGAATTTGTACTTGGCATCTCTTATGTTTGTAAATATTTTTTTGGTAGAATAATAAATGTGAGATAAAAGTAAAATTATACACAACTATTCATTTATGCTGCATGTAATTTATTTAAAATTTCATGTTTTGAAGATATCAATGATTTAAATTTATAAAGACATAAATTTTTTGAACTGGGTCATTAATGATTTTACTCCAGAAATTTTTAATGATTTTACTCAAGAAATTTTCAGGATTTTTGAGTTGGGTTCACAATCACCCCTGAATAGAATCAATGATGTAAATTTTTATAAATATTTTTCATGCTTATTTTCTTTAGGTCTGACAAAGACAGTGATCTCTCATACAAAGCTGAAATTGAACCCAAAGAAACTAGTTCAGATAAACCCCCTAGAGTCTCAGTTGGTGATGAAGAACAACATGAGCTTACTAAAGAAACTGTTGACTCTTCCATTGAAAAAATGGAGAGTATCGGACAAGAGCAAGAAGTTGTAAACGGTTTTCACGATTCTGGTTCCAATGAGTTGGATTCTAGTGGCATGTTCAGCTGTTCCGACATCAAGACAGAAGAGGTCTCTGAAAATGGAAACATCTTGGAAAGTAATTCAGAATTAATGAAGGAAATAACTGCGGTTTGTCAGGTGAAAGCTGAAGATAATGATAAACAATGTATTTCTGTGGATTCCTGTATGGGTGTCTCTGTGAATGGCTCTGCCAAGATGGACTGTTCTGCTTCGCAGGAGGATTCGAACAGCGTCGAAAATGTCGACGATTCAGATGTTAACGATACGGCCGATAGTGCTGCCTCAGAAATTCAAAGCCGCTATAATGTTGTGCAAAGATTCATTGAAAGTAAGTTATTGTCATATCATTATTTTTAATATTGTTGGTCCGTACCAAACTCTTTTGAAATTTAGAAATAGAATCCGCGTAAGCGTCACACCGCTGCAAACACGTTTGGAATTTATATAAAATATATTCAGACTGGGTTATATTGTAAATTTATATAAATTGTTATTTTTAGCTATTTAAATTTTTTGTAATTTCACCTCAGTCTAGTTAATTGCTTTGGTTTTGTTAAATGAATTCAAAGTTTGTAACTTATTGACAATGTGATGTGACGACACAGTGTAATGTCACAAGCTCAATGTGACGTGAATGATGCATGGAGAATGACGGAGTAAACGACGACGTGTTTCGTTCACTTAGTTAAGCTTTATACAAATGCAGCAAGATCCTGACTAAGGCAAGGGGCAACCGGGGCAGTTGCCCCAGGCCCCCATATCAGAACGGCTCCCGAGTCGAATAGAAAATTTTTAAGTTTCCTTCTTTAATGAACTTTTTGTAAACAAAATATCAGTACAGTAGAATTCCAAGCGTAACAGAGGGGAAATCACCTGGGTATTTTATCCTAAAAAATTTATTAATTAAATGTGTGAAAACAAAAAATTGTGCCATAGTATACTACTTTAAGGTGAAATGTTTGATTTAATTGCACAAAGCAATAAAAGAGCCTCATAATTTAGTTGTCAGGTAATTAAAAGCGCCCGTAACTGAAGGGGACAAAGAATATCCCAAATTTTTAACATACACTGTCATTTCCGCTATATTCTGTGATTTGGAACATACTAAACATTATTTGTCATTTTTAATTTAATTATCACATTTCAAGGTGAAAAAAAATTCTTATAAGGCTTTTTAAATTGCTTACACATTTTTATTAACTTCAAAAATTGACAGAGGGGACATTTTGCAAATTTGACCAATAGTTACAGGGAAATGTCATGCCATTTAATTAAACATTGCACTTTAAAGTAGCATATTATTGCACTTTTTGTTTTCACATATATTTAATAAATTTTTTATGATAAAATACCTGAGTGATTTCCCCTCTTTTACGCTTGGAATTCTACTACTGGTTTCAGTTGGCATGGAATTCAACTATAGTGTAAAATCCGTCAGTTTTATTTAGCTTCTTCATTAATATTTCGTACAAATACAATCTATATTTCGTAAATCCATGGCTTTCTAGGGCGGAATTCATCTAAATTTTCGCAATTACAGTGAACAAATTTGGCTAATCAATAGCCTATATTTTTGCATATCGTAAAATGTACAAAAATACTGGCTTCTGATTGGCTTTATTAAGCCATAATAATTGCAAAAATTTACCTGAATTCCACCCCAATGGCAGCAAGGATATGAATTTTTCAGAGATATATGAGGAAGTAAACAATGACATTAGTTAAGATGACAAAAAAAACTGCATTCGACATGATGGACATAGAATTGTCAGAAAATGAATAAAATGGACAGAATGACATTTCGTATAGCTATTTTAGGTCCAGTCAATTTTCTTGTTATCTATAATGAAGTGAAAAATTTAAATATCTCCTTAAAGTTCGGTTCTTCATTACTGAAGTAGTGAAACAGAGGGGGGCCCAAAATAAGTTTTTGTCCGGGCCCCAATTAGACTAAGTCTGACCTTGAATGCAGCACTAAGTAAACACTATCTTCATTTGTTTTTAAATAATTGTTACAAAGAAAGGAAAATAATTGAGAGCATTTATTGGGACAGTAAGTTATGTGTTTGTAGAAATGTAATAGACTGAATACTTACGTTTTAGGTATGTTGGAGTTACAGTGTGAGACGCTAGTCAATTTTCCCCAATGTTTGGAAAGGAATGAACTGGAACTTGCTAAGTTAACTATCTTACTTCTCAGTGCCATGGTGCAATATTCTCTCTCCACTAAAAAAGATCACATTATGGCTTCTTGCTATAGCCTATCTCAGGAGGACCAAGAAGAAATAATGGATTGCTTAGAAATTTTCCTTAAAGAACGACAGTCTCCTATTGAACATAAAGAATTTCACAGTAGACTCTCACGACGTGCCAAGTTAAGAAGTAAGTACTTATTTTTATGAAATGTTTTATTCTAAAAGACAGGGTGCGTAGCTTTTTTGAGAAGTACTTAAAGGTCCGTATTTTAAATTTTTTTAAAAAGCCTTTAAAATTGCTTCTTTTTTACCATGTCAACTTTCTCCACAAAATACGCTAGGAGTGTAGTTTTTTCCATTGTTCCATTCAGCGTTTTCAAACTTTAATTCAACCACAATCCATTTAAAGCCTATAGTCAGTCTGTGCAAAATGAAAGCACTAATCATTTTAAGCGTTGCGAGTGGCAAGGATTCGTGATGGATGAGCTAGTTTCAGTGAGTAGAAATCTTACATTCCCATGTGCAAAATTTCCTTTGGTAATCTCTATTCTTTTTTTGTCATATATATATATATATATTGTTGCCTATGCTGTTCTGTCAGGGGTCGAGTAGCTTGGTTAGGAGGAAGTAAGAGTTTGATAATTATAATATGTTTTTATAATTTATTTTACAAGAGCTATATTTACAGACAATAAGTTGTTGCATCATTCTACTTATCAGGCTTACTTTCATTCTACTTATCAGGCTTACTTTCATTCTACTTATCAGGCTTACATTCTACTTAGCAGGCTTACATTCTACTTATCAGGCTTACTCTGTTACAAAATCATCTGTGTTACTATTACAAATCAGGGGTCTGTTTAGAAGAAAACGGACCCTTTGTAAAGTATCTTTTCATAAAAATGGACCCTTCACAAATTTTTTTATCTTCATTATTGTTTTGTTAATCGAATAAACTCTTCCCAGAGGTGGGGGGAGGGAAAGGCGGTTTGAGACAAACTAAGTTTTTCAAAGTTTAAATTCCAAATGTAGTATTCTAAGAAAATATTTCTACTTTTACAAACATCGTGTGCACATTCTTATCAATATTAAATCATTTTTTTTTTGTAAATAAATAATTAATCAATTTATATTCATAAGATTAATTAATGGAATATTATGTAAATAAAAATTAATTTCCAGCAATTTTTTAAATAAAATATTATAAATTTAAGAATTGTTTAAGTTTACTTAATGCGTAACGCATTAAAAGTGATACATTACTAAGTTGTGTTATTTAAAATTTGTCCATTGAAATGACTGAAAATTTAAGTGATTTTGTTTATATTATTCTTCCGAAATGAATATTCTGTGTTGAGCAGTATAGGCTAAATACCAAATAATAGGACTTTATTTGCACAAATTCACAGAAACAGGACCCTGGTTGAAAGAATGTAACTTAACGCTTATTTTATTTTGACAAATTATGAATAGTTTTTTCACAATTTTACAAAAACAGGACCTTTTGCAAAATGTCTGGTCAGGCCCCTGCAAATAATTACTACTGTTATCTAGTGGCTACTCATTTTCTTTTAAATTTAAATAAAATTAAAGCTTAGTGTTTATATATATATANTAATGTATATAGGAAAAACTTTCAACAATAGGAAGAAATTATTTTTGTTGTAAAAATACTTATTTTTTGTTGAAAAATTTGGATACGCAAGACTTATAGGACAGGTTGTCTCTCATTGTCTTGGAGAAGTAGGATGACCACAAAGGATGAAAAAGTTAATACAAATATATACAGTGAAACCTCCGTTAAGCGGACATTCAAGGGACCAAAAAATTTGTCCGTTTATGAGAGTTGTCCGTTTACGGGAAGGGTACCCTAATAACGAAATTTAACACCGTAAATTTTTAGAATATTCTCAAAGATGTAGAAACAATTAAATAATATCTACAAGGATACTGTAAATATCTACAAGAATACTTATTGAAACAATAAGAAAGATAAAAAAGAATATATAAAGAAGTTTGATATAAATACATAATTCTGGATGTAGCTACAGATAAATAAATATAATTTTCCTCTTAGCATAGATACTCAAGTTAGACATATAATACCAAATAGGAGCTTGCTGTCCTCAGTCCGTTTCAATCCTTACCCCTACTTATCATTTGATAGGGAACATGGTTAATACCTTCTTGGAAAATAAACCTCCCATGATTCAAAGAAAAAAAAGTAATGCATACCTGTAAGTCATGAGGACTTATGGAGATGATTATTCACAATTGATAAGCTAGCAAGTGTCTGAATAAATGTTTCATTTATATAAACACCTCGAAGATTATACTTCTGTTCTCTTATTTTTACCCCACTTGTGTTAAATATAGTCTTCAAATTGATAAGAAAATTAAAGAAATTTTCAATGGGGAAGAAGCATTGAGAGAAGTCATTTCAACTTGAGGGGTCTCATAACCTGTGTGGTCCAGATGAAAAGATCAAAAGATGCCGATGTCGGAATTATTTCAGGAGTGCAGTACCATTTTGTGTCCTTTCTTTACAAAGATAAGACAAGGTGACAGGAGAAAGATTGATTTTTCGGTGGTGAAATAGCTTAACAATATTTTTAGTTATGGATAAGGCAAAAATTTTTATTTACGTGCTTTAAAAATGGTGAAAAGTTGTATTTTTTTAGCTTGCAATTTATTTAGAAAAAGTAGTGTCCGGTTTGTAGAGATAAAAAACAACGTTTCAGGATCAAAATGACTGTCCGCGTCCGGTTACGGGAGTGTCCGCTTTGCGGAGAATGTACGTAATGGTTTATTCGTAGAAGATTCCCGGGGAATTAAAAATATGTCCATGTTGAGAGGCGTCCGTTTTGCAGGAGTGTCCATAACAGGAGGTTTCACTGTATTAGGTATTTATATAAAAGTCTGATATTTTTTCAAAAAGAACAGATTTTATAATGATTTCTTTTAATAAAATAGGTTAATTTCAACTCCAATGTCACATATAAATGTTTTGTAAAGGATGAGGTATAACCGAAGAATTAATAATAAAAATTTTGTTTCGGAAAAATGCAAGGTTTTTTTTCTTCACTGTTTGTGCCCAGCCTAAAAAGTCATTATTTACTTAAAGAAAAAAAAGTTCTGTCTTGCTGTCACAAGGAACCCTTCGGGTACTGGATTATCACCCTGACTTAACTGTGTTTGCGAGGATAGGTCACTTTGAATAGGAATGTGAGGTTAGTCATTTTACTTTGGTGCAAGTTGGCATTGAACTATTGACATTGAAAAAAAACTAACGTTTGGAATATTTTTATATTAGTTTGAAGTGAAATGATAAAAACTGATTCTGATATAGAGAAATCTTCTGAATAGCAGTGCAGTAACATAAGGCCATGGCATCAGGGGTCTGTCCAGGCCGAATTGACTACCGTTTAGCGGTACCTTCACAAATTCAACTTTAGGAAAAACGGTAGTTTCACAAATTCAACTTTAGGAAAAACGGTAGTTTCACAAATTCAACTTAAGGGAAAAAAAAATACTTTTTCTTAAAATTTTGATTTTGTATCCCTTAAGAAGCGATAAATCCATATTTTTACCATATTTTTGTGTTGATTTTTTAATATAATTTTAAATTTTTCACAAATTATGTCTAAATTTTCACAAAATAGGTACCTCTCAGAAAAACCTAGACAGACCCCTGGGCATGCTAATCAGGCATTATTGTGAATGGCTATTTGACATAGATCTGTTACTCCAATTTATACTGTACCTATTGTTTAATTTTTAGTAATTTTTTAATTTTTCTTCCTTTTATTTTTATCTTTCCAATAACAGAAAAAGACAGACTATTTCTTGTAGATTATAAAAATTCTCTAATTTCTATAAAATTTTAAAATTGTGCTGAAATGTGAAAGGGTTTCTAATTCAAAAGATCAAATATCACAATGAATCAATTTTCTTGATAATTAATTAAATGTTAAGTTTGAAAATAAATTTATAGTTAATAACAATAGTATAATAAACATAAAGTTAGTAAAGAATTAAAAAGAGACCTCATTGAGCTCAATTTAATTTTTAAAAATTGTTAAACATATTTTTTATGGAACACCCATCAATTAATAAATAGTGTTTTAGTTTAGTTAATTTTTTATGTAGTGTTTAATGTTAGAAACTTTTAGCCTTTTTTGTTTCATTTTAGTCATAATAAAACTTAACACTTTTTTTAATGCTGCAATTTAGATGGACAACTTATTGTTGGTAAGTCTGATGTTTTCATCTTTTTGGGATATATTAAATTATTGAATAATAAATCTCAATTAAGGAGATTTTTTTTTGTCATATCAATTTGTAATAATTATTTTGCAATATAAATTTTTTTTTTTGGTCTATGCCATTCAATGTTCTAAAGGCCATTAGGTAAATTTTTGCCTGTCTGATTGGCAATTTATATTTGTAATGCCATGTTTCCATAGCAGTGCAATCTGATTTGTACAAACCAATTGTACATTCTCTGTTTATGTCCATTATATGTTTCACAATGGCTCTGTTTTTCTTGTTAAGGAATCTTCTAAAATATAACATTTTTATGACTATTTTAGCAGGGTTCCCACTGGTCAGGGGAACAGGGAAAACCTGGAATGTCAGAAAAATCAGAGAATAGTCAGGGAAAGTTGTAGTATTTTTTTTTTTAAACCAAAACCTGGAGTATTCCTATATCCTGGAAAATAACCAGTTATTAAATATTCAAATGTTTGATTTGAATTTCCTTTATAGTCAGAAATATATCCAGGGTTCACACTCCACAGGGAGAACAGGGAAAACCTGGAAAATACTGGGAATTTAAAAATCTCCTAAAATAACAGGGAAAATGCAGGGAATTTTGTTTCTTATTTTTGTCTTTTAAAAAATGGTGACCACTCAAAGCGTAATCTATGGGATGTTTAACCATGATATTTCAGCTATACTAAACTATTACATTTATAGAATTATTTAAGTATGTTCAGCTGTTTTTCCAGCAATTAAAACTAATAAACATAGTTAGCCCAACAATAGCTCACACAAGAATCCAGTAATTAATGTTTTCTCTTAATATATTGTGCATAATATGTACAGGGAATTTTTTTTCCAGATTTGAGTGGTAACCCTGATATCGATTATTGAGGTATTTAAAAATGTGAAAATTAATAACTGACAAAAATTCAATCAACACTGCATGGATTTACGATACTCTCAACATAAATTGAGCATGTCAAAAAAAGGGTTATTTGAATGCACAATTCGAATTCTACGTGGAGAAATAATATCAGTTTATAAATAACCAAAATTTTAGAAACCCTGTAGAAATTGGTAGCCATGGCAATATTAAGCTGAAAAATATATTCCATTTCATAAGATTTACATGAATATAGTATTTTTCTTCTTTTGATTAGAAATGTTTCTGAATTATGCAATATAATCCATTCAATGAATGCACATCGTAATGGATAGTTAGGTATACTGTTAATGGCTGAAAGCAGATGATTCTGATTTCTGATTCTCTCATAGGAGAGAGAGAAATTCCAAATAGATATTTAATATCAATTGAAATATTCAATAATTATTATATATTGTGAACATTTTTAAGAATAAAATATTTTTAAAATTTATGAATAAACAAATTATTATTTTAAAAAAGGGATATTTTATTCTTGATACTGATTATTCCTAGCTCTTAAGAACAGGTTTTTTTACAACAATTTTGGACCCAAAAAAACAATTCTTTTAAGTTTGTATTCAGTGTAATTTATTTTACTATTAAGATTGCATATGGCAGTTAGTAAATATGAAAATAAATTATCTCAGAGAGAAGATTATTATAGAATTATTTGATAAGTACGGCAAAGTGAATTTTAACAATTATTTGTGAGTTTTTTGAGGAAATCACCTGATATTTTTAAATTGAAATCGTCTTCTCTTTTTAAATTGTAATAATACAGGAAACATTGAGTATAAGGCTTGTGAATCTTATCAACACTGATGTAAAGTTTAAAATAACACCAAGAAAGTTTCAAAGAGAGGGCATTTTTCTTTTCAATTCCAATTTTTATTTTATTTTTCTTCTCGTTAATATGTATTAAATCATTTCCTGTAGATGTTTTCAAATATTCCAAATGCCTAAAAGTATATTCATGATTTTACAAGAAGCAGTACACTACTGTAAGATCTATGTTGGATTAAAATTTAAACCTGTTTATTTACTTCAATATCAATAAATCAATAAAAAAAAATTATTATTCAAGGCTGTTACAAAAAATTTCAGAGAATTCAGAAAACTACTAAATCAAGTTGTAATAAGTTCAGGGTGAGTAGCATTTTCAAAAAAGTCCTTAAAGGTGCTTATTTTTGAATTACGTTTTTGAAAACCCTTAAAGGTGCTTTTTTAATTCGAGGTTTGTAACAATTGCTTAATTTTCTATCTTTAAAAAAGACATGGTGTGTAGCTTCTTTAAAAGGTCCTTAAAGATCTCGTTCTTTAAAAGCCCTTAAAGGTGCTTTTTTATTGAGTGTTTTTTAAAAGCACTTAATTTTCCCTTTTTGAAAATTAGATTTTTTTTTCTTTACCATGTCGATTTTCGTCACATACTATGCAAAAGCATGGTTTTCACATTGTTCTATTCAACATTTTCACAATTCATTAAAACACTGTGCATTTCGGCTTACCGTCCGTCAAAGCATGCGAAAGCGTCAGTCATTTTACATGTTAGATTAAATACTTGACGGTTCACATGTGCATTTACTGAGCTGGGTTCGGTTAGATTTTTGCACTCTCATGCGCAATTCTGCTGCATTTTGCAAGATTTTCTTAATTTCAAGCTTCGTTTTCGGAAAAATCTCTTATTTTTTTATTTTTACAATGGCTAATGTAATCAAGAAAAGATTTCTTTATCAGGAACTAGTTATTTTAACCTGATCATTAAAAGACTTGGAAGACTATTTCACATTTTGTTAATGTATATACTGCTTAAAAATATTCCTGCACAGATCCTAATTATGATTTTTTTTTCCCTTTGAAAGTGATTAGAGATATTTTTTGAGTGCTTAACAAGTGCTTAGAGAGTGCTAATTTAAAAAAAAAAAAAAAATCTGGCTACGCTCCCTGAAATTGTATCAAAGGATAAATTTTTACCGTCTTTAAATTCATTCAAAAAACATTTTCTCAGTTTTGTAAAAATGTAAACAGTTTTGTATTGTTTGTATGTGTTAAAAAAATGTGAATTCTGAAAGAGTTTTTTTAATCTAGTAAAATCTTTTTGAAAAATGTTTACAAAAAATATTTTACTATTCCGCTAATCTTAACGCTCCTGAAGCTTTTAACTTTCCTTTGTTGCATTTATAAATGCGAAACATGAATCTACAAGAAAAAAGAACAACTGATAATGTAAACTGGAAAAAGAGAGATGATTAAATACATCAGTGGGCTTGCTCTATTTGTGTTACAGCTCTATGGTAAATTCTTCATAGATGTTAATTATCTAATATTATTAATCAAAAAAAATTAAAAAAAGTTTTTTTTTATCAAAAAAAAAAACTTTGAAAATTAAAAAAATATTTATAATTGCAAAAGTGTTTTTAATGATATAAATGTCAAGGATCAGTTTTTAAAATAATTTTGGGAACAAAATTTGTCTGTAATGAAAAACAATTATATTTTTCTAGAAAGCAATTCAGGGTAATACAATTTACTTCAACATTCTTATTTTTTTTTATTTTTTATATAATATTTATAAATATTTCTTTTTTAATTATTTAAGATAATAAATAAAATATTTAAGGTTTTTTTTTTCAATATAACTTCTAGGAGAATATTCTCCCATAAGAATATTGTGGAGAGTTATACATCTCTAAACGTAATTGATAAAATTATTGCATTTTAATGTGTTTTATTTTTTGCAGTAAGTCCCCGCAAGCATTGCAGTTCTATGTCTACTCCACAGTTTAACAAACCTACAAAAAGAGGCCGTAAAAGAAAAGCTTTTAATGCCGTGGAAGAATTTCTTGACAAGGGTTTTGAATCTCCGATTCAGAACCTCATCCAATCTCCTGATATTAGGCATATAACGCCCAACTCAGAGGTTAGATTTAATTTTTTAAATTTATTTTGGTATTTAAATGTCAAAAATTTATGTCATCAGGAAAAGTAAAAGATTTATAAATTATGTTTAGGCAGTTCTCATTTAATCTCTTGCTAACATGTATGTATGTTATGCAGGCTCGAAATTAACAGTGGCCTGAGACTACTAAAATTTGACCAGTATCTGCAATAGATGTAAAGAGGTTTCATGATATGGTCTGCGGTTTTGCCAAAAAAAAAAAAAAATAGCATATCATATTTTATCCATAGCTGTAAATATTTCATCTGTATTGTAATTTTTCGTTTAAATTCACTTAATTAACTTTTTTAAAAAAAATCTTATAGAAATAAGTAAACAGACCAGTGAAAATGTGTGTGAACTAGTAATATCTTTTAGTAACTGGTCCTTAGAACTGATATTTAAATTGTCTACCCCTGTTTTGCTCGTAAAAGAATTTATTTAGCATGCAAAAAAAAAGTTTTTTTTTTTCTAATTTAAATTATTAAATAGGTATCAAATATTTAAAAAAAAATTTAAACTTTAAGATTATTTTAGCGAATATAATCTAAGTTTAAATTCATGTAATTTCTATTTGACTGACATGTAGAGTAGCAAGGGCAGAATTGATTTACTTACAGTGAATAGGAAGTATGTAAAAGAGTGCAATACTTGCCACCTGTATTTGTACTGCTCTTAGTAGTTTTGGTTGTAAAACAGAGGACAAAATTGATTTCAGACCTTTCTGTAAATTTTAATCATTATACATTTTTCTGTGATATCAATTACTATTGTATTGTCAAAATTGTTTCTTACTAAATTCATGGCATTAATAAATTATAAGTTTTAAAATATGAAATTAATTTCATTCAAATAAATTCAAGATAAAATAAATGTTCAAGATATCTGCCATTTATGCATTTTTTATAACCTTTGCAGCAGAGTTTGCCAAGGTGGGCCAGCTCAGAAAAACTTTCAGTTTGGGCCCACTTGAAAATACCCATCTTTATCCCCAAGTGGTTTTTCTCTCCATATTTTATCATTTCTGATTTTCTTTTCAATTATCTAACTAAATTGTTCTTTGCACTTATCAACTCATTGTTTTATAAATTTAACTTTGTAACTTCTGCTACAAAATTATTTGAAGTAAAACATATTTCTGTTATCTGTTTTTTTGCAAAAAGAATTTAAAATGTATTAAGTATGTAAAGGAATAATGTACATAATTAAAAAAGAACATTGCTAAATTGTAATATAATACTTATCTAGAAAACAAATTATTTGTAATACATAAACACTGCACTAATTACATAATTAATTTAGGGTTTGTTAAAATCTATCAACAGGTCCACTATTTAAAAATGAATATATTTTTAGACAAATAATGCAGATATGAATTTTCGGGTAAAAAAAGTATTTTAAAAAGTATTTTGAGCATTTTAAAAAGATAAGATCAAAATATCCCCATTTTATTTTACGATTTTCAGTATAGACTGTACTTGTTGCCATTTACTATTCCTTTTTACAAAAAAATGTCTTTTTAAAGTTACTACTTTATTGAACTCATATTTTTCAAGTTCAGACTGTAAAATCGTTTAAGAACTGAAAAGCAGAAATATTTTCTGTTATTAAATATTTCAATAAAAGGAAATATAGAGAGACTTTCTGATATTTTAACTTTTTAGTTTGACTGCGACTAAACTCTCTGGCTCTAATATCTTTCTGCAAGATACTTATAATAATAACAAGCATATATGTTACTAATTTAAAATAACAAATATGCTGTGTTTACAAAAAACAAAATTTAAAAAAAAAACAATATATTATTTTAATTGAACATAAATTTTTTATTCTAAAATATGGGTGATATTCTCTCATTTTGTTGGGGGGTGGATATGCACAAATTATTTGTGCATTTTTCTAAACCATTAAATTTTGTAAATAATCAACACAACTAAAAAAAATAATAAAAAATCGTGAAATCTGCAGTAGTAATTGCCCAAAAAACAAAGATTGGCGACGAAATCACAGGAATTGGACTCCTCAAATGAGGGTTTTGTTTTGAGATTAGATTGTTGTAATAAATAATATTGTATAAAAAATATCGGATTTAAAAACTATGGTGAAATTAATTTGCAATAACTGCCGAAATTTCTATAGAATTATTGCTTTAAAAAGTAAATACTCAAATACACAATTTGAATTTTCAATATTGTTTGGAATATATTGGGATATTTAAAAACCATGTAAAAATCTATATCAATAACTGCCGGAAAACAATCGGAACATTACACCGATTGATTGCAAAAATTGAACGCATCAAAAAGTGAGTGCATGATTCAAATATTTTGTGTAAATTTCTACCGAAAAGCAAAGTCAAGTTTTTTACTTTTCAAAAGAAAGATCTTTCTGCAAGAACTCTTAACTTTCTGCAATATAAATCTGTGTTTGATATGAATTAAGGATGTGTTTGTTATTTAGAGTTAATCAATAATATAATGGTTAAAGTCTGAATAAGTAGTATGAATCAGGATTACTTAAGTGATATGAATCAGGATTACTTGAGTGATATGAATCGGGTTCTCTAAATTATTTTTATATACATCTACCTTTAATATTTGATATTTTACTCCAGGAAATTACATGTTATTTTAAACAATTTTAAGAACTGTATTAAATATTTTTACATGGGTGTAATTGTTTCTTTTCATAAAGGCTCGCCTGTTAGAAGCTGTGAGGTGCAAGGACAAGACAATAGCCTCTTTAACATATGATTTAGATATGGAGAAATTTACTGGAGATGATCTCAAGAAACAAAATGAAGATTTGTCATCGCAACTATCAAAATTAAGTAAGGAAAAAATTTTAAATAAAATTTGTAAGGAAAACTATTATCTATTGCTAAGTTTTACTTTTATAAATTAGTGAAGTCTTTTGTGTCAGGTCTGGCCAACGGAAAAGACATAGTGAGCCTCTTGAAGAACACATTTTATCCTTTGGGCCGCCATATATATAAATTTTAATTTAAAAAATGCCGGATATTTACTTTATGTATATTGAAATTTTTGTGATACCGGCAGAGTATGAAATTCCGCCATTCTATAGAATGCCTAGGCATTGTATATGCCGGACATTTATAGGCAAAGCATTATATGGAAGAATTATGACAAACCTTAACTATACATCGTATATAATGCATGGGCATCTTACAGAATGACTAATGCTATTTAGGCAAAGTATAAAAAAGGTTTTGATAAAGCTATTATATAAATGACATGCAATCCTCAAAAATACAAAGATTATTCTGAAAAAATAAAGAGAAATGGAAGTTGTGCAAAACGAAATTTTTGCCTTTCTTNTATATATATATATAAAAGGAAAAAAAATTAAATTGAACCTACTTGGGCAATATGGTAGGCTTAAATGACTTTTTCAATTTTAATTTCAATGCATTTAAAATGAGCTGGAGATGTATTTCCTACTTTTCTGGTATTTTTTTTTTTATTTGGCTTTCTATAATATGTTTAGAAAATGTATGAAACATGAATGGTTTCATACATTGCTGGCTAGTTTTCGGCATTATATACAGTGCCTAGGCCAGGGATGGCGAACCAATGGCACGTGGCAATATTTTGGGCACGCCACCGATCACAAAGTTCATTATGAAGCATATTAACAATTAAATTAAAATTCACAAAGAACAAAAAAAATAGGCAATTATTGACAAAAAATTAACAATTAATGTCAAAAAACAATTAATAACCATAAAAAACAAGCTAACAATAAATGACTAGCGCCGACCAGGTGGCCGAGTGGTTAGCATGCCTGACAGTGGAGTCGATAGTTGCATGTTAGAATCCCGCTCAGGCCATGGATGTTCCTTCTCCTACGTGTGGGCGACGTGGCGAGGGTGATGTGGGCGACACTGCTCCAGTTAATCAATACTTGCTGAAAGTTTTTCAATTGAGATTTTGAGTTTGCGGAAAGATTCTCATTCTATTTAATTCTGTTCAATGTTATTTGCTTGTTTGTGTCTTTAGTTGTAGATACTTTTTAAATAATGGTTGCACTATATTGAGTAATCTGTTTTTTTAGGTTTTTTTGTTGTGTTATTTTCATAAAATCAATTAGTTTCTATTTTTTATTTTAGAAAAAGAGAACAAGCTATTAAAAGAAGAACTCAGTGAAATTCAAGCAAATTTAGAAAATAGTGAACTTGCATTCGAGAAATCTCAGAAAGATTGGAAGAATGAAGTTAAAAAGTAATTAGTACACTTTAATAATTGCTGACAAGTTTCTGCAATAAGCACAATTTTGTATTTTTCTGTGTGAATTCTAATTTATGTGATAAAAAAATGGCTGTACTGCATAAAACGTTTTGTAATATCTTTGTAATTTTGCATTTTTCTACGAAAAGGGTTTTAGACAGTGAAGAACATACCTTTGTGTTATAGCTATTAATCGGCAACATGCATTTTCATTAAAAGTGTAGAAATGCAATAAGAAAACAGCATAATTAATCCTGATACTTAATTAAGAAACTTGTCTTGATATATTAGTAAATGTTTCAATACTTTAAAATTGTTATACGCTCATAATTTTTTTGTCTCTCGATTGTTAATTCATTATTATTAATTGGCTGATAACACAATACTCTAATAATTCAGGGTTTTCATAACATATTAACATTTATTATACTGTCTTTTAACTCTAACACATAGTGCACATGTCTTTAAGATTTTTTCTTTATTTTCCCAGTCTTTGCATAATTTAAGCAAACTCCAAAAAAAATTTAAAATTGGATATTTTTGCTCAGTTTATTGTTTAATTATAAATTTAGATAAGTAAACCTACTAAGTCATTAAGTAAACCTGAAAGTGAAAGTAAAATTAAAATTTTTTTTAATAGTTTTTAACGTTTAATCTTTTTTTTATTTTATTTATAAAAAGTGTCATTGAATTTGTGTATTTGTTTTTAGATTTTTCTATGTTTTAATTCATAAATATTTATTTTTTTGAAATTTTTTAAACTATCTATTATTTAAGAATATAGTTATCAGTATAAATATGAATTTAAAATATATTCAAAATTATACATTAAAAAATATGAAAAACCAGTAAAAATAATTTTTATTGAAGTACATTTATTTAGAATGGCACAGCAATTCATTTAAACTTATAACTGGTGCAGTACATTCAGGGTATTCGCGCACCTGGAAAATCGTGGAAATTCATTGATTTCAACCTTGATCAAAAATTGTTGTAGAAAGTCACAATTTTCAGTGATAAATGCTAAAAAATTATGGAAACTCCCAGTATGTCATAGATTTGGGGGGTATTGGGTCCCTTAATCCTGTCGGGCAATTTGAAAAGCCCACATCGCAATTAGTGCTTATTTTTGATTTATGTTTTTTAAAAGCCCTAAAAGGTACTTTTTTTATTATTCAGTGTTAGTAAAAAGTGCTTAGTTATCTTTTAAAAGGAGATGTTTTCTTTGTTGTATTAATTGTCATTCTAAATTACAAAAAAATGCATGATTTTCGCAATTTTCTCTGCAATATTTATCATAAACTAGTAAACTAGTTACTTTATCATAATCATGTGTAGTTTTAGAAAATGTTTTAGAATTTTATTAATTTTATGTTTATAAAATTAGAACTTTTTTAAACAATAAAAAAAAAATTAGTACTGCACAGATCTTAATGAATTTTTTTTTTTAATGGAATGTGATTAAAAATATTTTTCTAATACTTAAAAAGTACTTTAAAGGTGATTATTTTTTGTTGAAAAATCTAGCTACGCACCTTGATATTTGTGTGATTTAAAAATCACCCAACGTGATCCGCATTCGTGTGATTGAAAAATCCTTCATCACGATCCCCATTTGTGTGATTTAAAAAGATCACACATCAGGAAGAAAGTTACACTTATTATGATCTTTTGACTATATTGAGTAATATGGTATTAACCTGCTTAAGTCATGGAAAGTGTTTGGTGAAAATCATGGAAAGTCATGGATTTAAAAACTCTAGATATAACAGATACCCAGTATACATATTTATTTTAATAATCCTTAATTTATATATAACTGTCCATAAAGTGTATTATGTGAAACTTTGAGTTTTGTGGATTTTTTTTTCTGCTTTCCAGAAATTTAGTCCTTTATTGTGTGAGTTTTTTACTAATTTAAAAATGTTTCTCTTAGCTACAAAAGACAAATTAAAGATTTAAAAGAGGCAGAGAAGTTTTGGAAAGAGAGTAATCAAGTGGTAAATATTTGTTATCTAATATTTGCACATTGAAATACTTTAATGCGTATTCTAACAGAAAAATGAATTGTTTCAGGAAGACACTCCGAAAATTCAGAAAATAGAGTGCACTTGTAGTGAGGAGATTGGCTCGCTGAAGTGTGCTTTGCAAGCAAAAGACGACAAAATCCAGGAATTTCAAAAACAGATAGAAATTCTGAATGTTCAGCTAGACAAACTAAGTCAAGAAAATAAAGATCTCAATAGTAAAGTGTTTTCATTTTATCTTTAATAAAATTTTATTTTTTAATTTTGCAAAAATTTAGAATAAGACTGTTGGCATAATTTTCTATCATCAAGTCTTATGCAATAGTATTGTATGTAAGCTTTGTTTTGTTGTAATTATTTCTGCAGAATTTAAAATTATTAACTAACAGGTAAGATTTGTACCAGTAACCATCTTTTATGAACAAATTATTCTTCTACAATTTCAGGGGTCTGTCCAGGCCAAATTTACTACCATTTAGCGGTACCTTCACAAATTCAACTTTAGGAAAGACGGTAGTTAATTAACCTAAAAATTTTTTTTGTATCCGTAAGAAACGATAAATCCATATTTTTGTGTTGATTTTTTAATATAATTTTTAATTTTCACAAATTATGTCTTAATTTTCACAAAATAGGTACTTCTCAGAAAAACCTAGACAGACCCCTGATTTAATAACATGGTGCATAGCGTTTTTAAAAAGTTCTTAAAGGTGCTTTTTTTTTATTGAGTGTTTTTAAGAAGTACTTAATTTTCCCTTTTCAAAAATGGGATTTTTTTTCTTCATTACAATGTCGATTTTTGGCACGTATTATGCAAAAGCATGGTTTTCACATTGTTCTCTTCAACGATTTTGCTATTCATTCAAACAATGTGTTTCGTCATACCGTCGGTCTATAGCGTATGAAAGCGGCAATCGTTTTACATGTTTAATGAAATACTTGTGGGTCTACATGTGCATATACTGAGCTGGGTTCAGTGAGATTCTTGCACTCTTACCTGAATCTACAATTTGTTTGAATTTGCTCATAACCTAATTCTAAAATGCAAATTGTGAAATGTGTACAGGGTATCTGCGCAACCAGAAGGTCATGAAAAATCATGGAAAGTCATAAATTTCAGTATTGAACAAAATTTGTCATGAAAGCTCATGATTTTAAATATTTTTTAAAAAAAATCATGGATTTAGATTGCTAGCCTAATTTTTAAAATGGAATTACCCCCTCCCCCTAATTTCATGATGTTCCGAATATCTGAATTTGTAACAAAATCCCCACTTACAGTGACATTTTAATGTTTTTATCTTCTTTAAAAAATTATGGCGTTCTTTCAAAAAATGAGAAAGAAAAAAAAAAAAAANCGTTTCAAAAAATCATTAATCACAGAAGTTTCCGGAAATCAAATTTTCAAAGGTGGACTTTAAAAACACAGTTTATTTTATTAGTTTGTAAAAGAGAGCCAGAGAGATACTTTATAAGCTTATATTCATAATTAATATTCATTTTTTATCCATAAATAGTTGTTATAATCATAAACACAAGAAAGAAAGACATATTTGTAAATTTTAATTACTTCTCCAGGTCATCATAGTGTAAATGGTATAGGTATATGTGAAATTATAAATATATTTTAAGCAAACTAAGAAATATTGAGAAAAAGGAAGAAAAAAACCTTGTTTAAATTTTTTTTCTAATTATTCAATTCAAATTTTTTTTTTAAACTCAAGAAATTTTTCCGGAATTTTGACTAGGGCTCACAATCACCTCTGTTCATTACAATGTCTATTTTTGGCACATATTATGCAAAAGCATGGTTTTCACGTTGTTCTTTTCAACGATTTTGCAATTCATTCAAACAAAGTGTTTCGTCATACCGTCGGTCTATAGTAAGGGTGCACAACCTGTGGCCCTCCTACCACTGAAGTGTGGCCTGTGAGAGCTTCTGAACTCAATAAAGAAATATAAAAAATTCGAATACAAAAAATTTCTTAAATTTTTTTATCAACGTCTTAAATTTTTTTATCAACGTCGATGCTACTCTAGTAATGGTCGTAGGAAGCCCACTTGCGGTGATCCTCCCTTTCCTTCCATTAATGTCACATTGTTCAGTGTGACGTAATGGATTTCTCCTCTCTTCTACCAATGAGAGAAGGAATTCTTCTGTTGTGAGAGCTGTTCCAGTTATCTCATGACTTCCTGTTTGACGGCGCGAAAGCAAATGTTAAAAGAAAATGGCTTCTGTAAAAGCAAGACAGCAATAGATTTATGGTGATATTTATTAGCTCATTAGATTAATCTTGTTAATTTCAGGGCTGATTGTGCTCCGGAAAAAATCCGGATTTCCAGTTTTTTCGCTAACAGTGATCCGGAAGTTTCAGGAAATCAGATTTTCAAAGGTGGAACTTAAAAACACAGTTAATTTTATTTGTTTGTCAGGGAGAGCCAGATACTTTATAGGCTTATATTCATAATTAATATTCATTTTTTATCAGTAAATAGTTATTATAATCATAAACTCGAAAAAGAAAGACATATTTGTAAATTTTAATTACTTCTCCAGGTCATCATAGGTATGTGTAAATGGTATAGGTATGTATAAAATTTTAAATATATTTTAAGTAAGCTAAGAAATATCGAGAAAAAGGGTAAAAAAAAACCTTGTTTAAATTTTTTTCAATTACAATAATTTTTTTTTTAACTCAAGAAATTTTAACGGAATTTTGACTTCGGCTCACAACTACCCCTGTAATTTATTATGGCTGAACGAAAACAATCCTTTAAGGAGTCTTATTCTCTTGAATTACCGTTAATTTCTAGATCGAATCTTGGAGTACATGATGTACGTTGCAACATATGTAAAAATGACTTCAGCATCGCACATAGTGGTAAAACTGATATAGTCAGACACGTAAAATCAACAAAACACCAGAAGAACATTTTTTTTTTAAATGTAATTCTTTTTCTATCATTTCTATTAAGTTTATATATTGTGTATACTATTATATTATAATTAAACTAATGTTAATATAAGTCTTAAAATATTACATATTTCCCTTTAATCAAGAATTAATAAATGAATATTGTACCATCAAGTAGCTGGTCAAAAGTTTCTTAAAAATTTCTTTCCTATTCTTGTTTTAAAGAAAATGTGAGTATAGCTTTTTTATGCTCATATTATAGTGGATTTATAAATAAATAATTGATTAAAATCCTTTTTTTTTATATAAATTTATTAGTAATTAGTATGCAATTGCGAATCTTCTGCATTTTTTTTTTGTCTATCTTCTGCATTTTTATAACTATAGGTTGGCAGCTATGCTAATCTAATTTTTAAAATTGAATTACCCCCCCTCCCCCAATTTCATAGTGTTCTGAATATCTGAATTTGTAACAAAATCTCCACTCGCAGTCATATTTTATTGAAACCAAAGTTTTTTTTTTCATGTTCTTAAAAAATTATTTTTAGAGTATCTTTTAAACTTCTGTAATTTTTATTTTATCAATTTAAAATTCTAGCTGAAGCAAGCCAGTCATTGGCGAATTTTTTTTATTCCGAAATGAGAACAGAAAAATTTAGGAGTATTACTTTCCTTTCTGAAGAACAAGAAAAGTATCTTTAGAATATAATTCTGCAGAAGAAGAAAAAAATTATTTGCTTTTGTATTTTTTTTCACTTATTTTATTGCATCAATTCTTTCTTTACTCTGTTTTTTAAATTTGAAATCTACAAATATGAAGATGCAAAGTATAACAGTTTTGGTTATACGTATCATTTCAATTATTGTTATTCTAATGCTTTTTTTAATTTATTGTTTTGTTTTTGTCAGAGAAAATAGTAATTTTGTTAAGTCATGAAAAATTCTTGGAATTAGTCATAAATCTGAATGTCTAAAATGTAGCAGATACCCTGTACAGACGTGCCAACTCTCCCGCATTTTGCGGGAGTCTCCCGAATTTTGAGTTATTCTCCCGCCCTCCGGAATTGATTTGAAAAACTCCCGAATTTTACTGCGATCGACGGCCAAACTCAAAATTACCTAATTTTTCCGAGAGTGCGAAAGTAAGTTTTTCTTTCAGCTTGAATTCCATCCCCTCTTATCAAACTACCATCTGCCTGAAGCGTAGCTGAACATGCTTTATTTTCCCCCTCTTCAACGTTACCTCTTAACACTGGGGGCGGGTGAAATCTTTCTCTTCTTTCGTGTGGAGTTGAATGCAATGACGTCACATGTCGTTATCGAGTGACGTCCGTTCAGGAGTGGGGAAACTCGTACTCTCGATAGTTGGAATTGATATTGTATCTTGCTGTTTTTATAGTTTTTAATGCGTATTTTTCCACGGTTGGCAACAAGCTCGTAAACTAGCAACGTGATATCAATTATTCGTTTAGTCTTCGTATATTTCAAAAAAAATTTTCAAGGATGTCTTAAGTCGAAACGGAAGTATGGATCAATTTCAACAAATCATGTACCAATGACTTTAGCAAGAATTAATTGCGGAGAGCTAAGTCTGCAACTCTTTTTTTCATGCATACAGTAGAGAACCATTTATCTGGTATCCAGATAATCCGTTAAAAAAATTTGCTTTGTTCTCCCGCCATTTTGAACTAAAACGATATGAAAAAAAAAGCGGAAACTGGACTAATCCTTGAAGTTGAGTAGAGGAAAATGTGAGGAAGGGAAGAATTTTTTTCCCCGTTTACCCAGAGAAACGTCATTTCTACCGCGACCTTGAAGATTTTAGATCTTTATTCTCTTTTTAGGTCGTTAAACTCAAAGGAGTGGCATGATGATTTCGTTAGCTGTTTGATTTACGAGGGGGTGGGGAAAATGCATTGCACATGCATATCAGTGAACAGAAGATGAAAGAGAAAAATATATTTATCTATTTGACATCGTTCAATAAAAATAAAATGTTTTTCTTTTGAATAAATTCTGATTCTTTGGAAGTGCGGTATCATTCGCAAGTTTTTCTTGATGTGGAATCACACCTGCTTTAATTAAAAATCGCGTTTTTATAAAAAAAAAAAAAGGAGAATTGTTTATTAATTTAAGCATACAATTATTTTATGAAGCAGATTGCAGTTTCGTTTTTCTGATTCCACTACGTTTTTTTTTTCTTTTTCATGATAAATTTTGCACTCAATAAAATTATTTGTATTACCAAATTTTTTCATTATTTTTTTTTTTTTTTTTTTTAAAGTCCGTTGATCTTGCCTTGTTCTAGGTTTTGATATTTATTAGCATAAATATTGCTAATAAATATTAAAACCTAATAAATATTAAAACCGTGCCGTTTTTTAACTATCGTTTCGGTTCGATAATTTTCAAGTGTTGTTTTTATTTAGATTAATAGGTTTTCCTTTTATTTAATCATTGGTTTTGTTTATTAGTTGATTTAGGAATCGTAATTATTTTTTAAACTTGTTTTTCTTGTCTAAACTTGCAAATTTTTTTATTCTTTTAAATTTTATTTTTCTACAATTTTTTTCCTTTTTAGATTTAGGAGTGCTTTTCTTTTTTCTCTTACATTAAAATGTGTTTACATTTTTTCCTTGTAATTTGGGTTTGATAAGACATCGATTAATGACACTTTTTTGTCGATCCAGGAAACCGGGAAATTAAGACATCCGGGATAGCGATGGTNCTTTCCTTTCTGAAGAACAAGAAAAGTGTCTTTAGAATATAATTTTGCAGAAGAAGAAAAAAATTATTTGCTTTTGTATTTTTTTCACTTATTTAGTTGCATCAACTCTTTCTTTACTCTGTTTTTTAAATTTAAATTCTACAAGCATGAAGATGCAGAGTATAACAGTTTTGGTAATACATATCATTACATTAATGTTATTATAATACTTTTTTAAATTTATTGTTGTGTTTTTGTCAGAGAAAATAGTAATTTTGTTAAGCCATTAAAAATTCTTGGAATTAGTCATAAATCGGAATGTCTAAAATGTAGCAGATATCCTGTATATATGATTTTTTCTTTTCTAGGTCAGCTAGAGGAAAATGTCAATTCAGATAATAAAACAAGCTGTGGGCGGTTACCTACTCAAGAAAAATGCTTTAATATTTCTGATTTATCATTAAGGAATGAGCTTAAAGACAAATGCGAGGAACTTCAAAATGATCTTAAACAGATGGAAATAGAATATAGTGTCAATATTCGAAGTCTCGAGGAACTTTTATCACAGAAAGATAAGATCGAAAAAGAGTGTAAAGTAAGTTGCGCTTGTATCAGTTTGCACGATACTTATTCAGTTATTACTTCTTTTAAATTAGTTTAACTTATTATAATTGTTTTTTTAGGCTAAGTTGCGTAAAAGTGATAAGGAACGTGAAGATGCTATTAATAATCAGAAGAAGTTAGAAATTGAAAATTCAAATTTAAAAGGTCAAATTGAAGTTTTTAAGAATATGCTCCCAGTAAGTTTTATTTTCAATTTTAAGGATGCAATAAGAGTTTTAATACTTTTAGAAAGATTTTAATACTTTTGTCATGCTTTGCTGATATGATTGTGCTCCGGACAAAATCCGGATTTCCGGATTTTTCGTTAACTGTGATCCGGTATTTTCTAGAAATCATCGATCACATTTATGTATAAAAATTCTTGTATATTTTATTTAAAAGTATTAGAACTAAAATTTATACTTAGTATCTATTTCATTAGTAAATATTTTTTTGGTAGAATAATAAATGTGATTAGAGATAAAGGTGAACTTATTCATGATTATTCATTTAAATTATACTGCATATAATTTATTTAGAATTTCATGTTTTGAAAATATCAATGATTTAAATTTATAAAGACATAAATTTTTTGAAATGGTCATTAATGATTTTACTCAAGAAATTTTCAGGATTTTTGAGTGTCTCACAGTCAGCCCTGGCTTTATTCTTTTTATGTAAACTGGTGGTTGTGATTTGCCATAAGACTGCATGGTATTGAAATCAAAAGTTTGTTTTAAATTTTTTAATTTTATTAGTCTTATTCTGAAAGTATTTAAGGACAGGAAGATCCTTCTTTATATTCAACTTTTGATTTTTCAAAGATATTGATAGTAATCTTCCTCCTGAAACTTTTCTATTGTACTTTTTAAAAAATGCAGTAAAGCTAATATAAAACTTTAAAATCCTGTATTATTTTATAAAGAGTGAAGAAAATCCTGGCTATTTTGATTTTACAATGTGACTTATTCTGAAAGCATATACATTCATGACATTTCTCTTTGGATTGAATCTTTTTTTGTTGACATTTTTTCTAATTTTTCAAGTTCGAAAATATTCTCCTGTCTGGAAATTTTTTATTGCAGTTTTTTTTAAATGTATAAAGACTCTGATAATAAAACTTTAATCCACATATTGATAAGGATTAAACTGAGTGCTGGCAATTTTTATTCTTCAATATCGCTTGTAAAGGGTTTCTTTGCCTGTAGAGTTATGTTTTGCTATTAAACTAAGATTTTTATGTCTGTTTTTATCCAGTAGTTTAATCTAACTTAATTAAAACTTAGTTATTATTATTCCATTTCTTGAAGAGAATTAGAACGTTTTAAATTGCCATATCTTTTGACCTAATAGGAATATGATTTTTAAATCTTTTGGTTCAATTTAATACTTTTCACTCTACGAAACAGCACTTTAACAAATCTGAAGATTAAGTTTGCTATGTGCAAAATAGTCCTAGAAATTGTTTAAACACATTTTCCTTTTTTTGTTTTCCCTTTTTCTTTAATTTTATGTCTTCATCTAAACTAAATATTATAAAATGTATTAATGTATGAAAGCTTTATCTTAAGATGTAAAAAAAAAAATTTTTGTTTTAAACAGGAAATATCATCTCCTTTGGTACCGAAAAGTGCAACTGCTTCTAATTCAACTCCTGCCAATAGAAGATCTTCTAGAAATCGAAATGCGTGTGATTCAGAAAAAATAGGCCAGCTGTGGCAGAACTATGACGATGAAACGGAAGACGTTGTGATTGCTAACATCAGTAAAACTAGACTTGAGCCAGATGAAACATCTTGCGAAACCATCACTACGGAACCCCCTCCGAGTGAGAACCGAAAAGTCAGTGAGAAATCTCAAAACAAACTGTGTCGATCTCAAAGTGTAAATAATGTCACGTCAACTAAAAATACTTGCAACATTTGTTCTCAAAATGATTTCTGTGAAGTTCCACCTCTCATTCAAAACCTATGTAAAATAGTTAGAGAAGACAATATTCTTGATACAGATGTTTTGTTGGAATTGCATAAATACGAGAGGGACTTTTATATGAATGATTTGGTAAGGGTGCTTACTTTGCTTACCAGGATTTTGTTGAAAGATGACGGGACTTGCGGTCGAAGTCTTTCAAAATATAGAAAAGACTCTGGCAGTCTTGACTTGAATAGTGAAATAACTTTTGAACCCGTCTCCAAAACAAATGAGCCAGAACAACCTCGTAGAAAAAGCGTCCAAGGTAGAAGGTCAGGAAAAAGTAGTCAACATTCAGATTTAGATGCTGGATCATCTAAAAGTGATAAAAGTTTAGAAAAGAGTAATTCTATCCCGTTTTACCGAGAGCTTTTGAGAAGGGAAAAGAGAAAAGTTACTTGCCTGCAAACTAAGTTAAAGGTAATGTAATTTTAACCATCTCTTTTTCAATAAGATATTTTGATCACACTATACAAGTGAAAATATTTTGTTTGTTTATTCCATTTTATTTTACTATTTTAAGCTTTCAGTATCAATATTAAAATTTACTACAGTAAAAAAATTAGTTAACAACTGTTATAAATATGAATACAAAAGTTTCACACTAGCTAATTATATTATGAGTTGAAATCTATATTCACAAGTAGAGTTCTTTGACTGTGACTGACGAATTTTGTCAAATCCCCCCCCCCTTAAAGTTGCTCTTAACTCTTTGGCAATCTTTAGCAAATGGGCGATATTGACAGGATGTTTCTCCCCTATATTGCCCATTTGCTAAAGATAGCCAGTGGGTTAAGAACAAACTTCTGGAGGGAAATTTTTTTTACTGGGATACAATAATACAAAATGACATTTATTCAATGTAATATTCTTGTGCTATTTTCTTATTTAATAACATAGAAAAACCGGTTTTGCAATGCGGATAAGATTGCTAGTTAAAATATGACTCTTTACGTGCCATTTGGAAATGTGAAATTTTTTTTTTTAAACTAACTAAATTTAAAAAAAAAAAAAAATTAGACCTCTTAAAAAATTTTTAGATATTTTTTTTCTGATTATAGTATATATAAATTGTCATGGTTGTTAGTATCTGTATTTATTTATATTTTTAAAAAAATATCTTAACAGTAAGAATGTAACGAATATTCATCCAATATTCAATATTCGGTTGAACATTTGGCAAAGTTTTGCAGTGAAACCACTCGGAAGAGATCCCTCTCTATTCCACAGTGAAATGGTCGTTAATGGAGGTTGGTCGTTCTTTGGGCTTCCATTGATTTCAAGATGTTATACAGGGTGCGTAGCATTTTTAAGAAGTGCTTATTTTCGATTTTTGTTTTTTAAAAGCCCTTAATGGTGCTTGTGAGACATTTTGTCTCTTGGTTCGTTTTTAAAGACTCCTCAATAAGGATGACCAAGGATTATTTCAATTATAGCTTATTTATTATTAAATTCTTGATTATAGAATTATTTACAGAAAAGTTACAAATAGATACATGACCTGTTGAGTATAATGTTCTTGGAGCGCAACTGCTCCCTTTCTTACNATCAGGGGTCTGTCTAGGTTTTTCTGAGAGGTACCTATTTTGTGAAAATTTAGACATAATTTGTGAAAGATTAAAAATTATATTTAAAAATCAACACAAAAATATGGATTTATCGTTTCTTAAGGGATACAAAAATAAAATTTTAAGAAAAAGTATTTTGTGAAACTACCGTTTTTCCTTAAATTGAATTTGGGAAACTACCGTTTTTCCTAAAGTTGAATTTGTGAAGGTACCGCTAAACGGTAGTAAATTCGGCCTGGACAGACCCCTGCCTTAAGTCACTTCACTGTCGATACTCCTTAAGTGGGCGGGGCCACCGGACTCTCCCCTATAAGTTGTCATGGTTGTTAGTATCTGTATTTATTTTTAAAAAAAATCTCTTAACAGTTAGGATGTAACGAATATTCATCCAATATTCAGTATTCGGTTGAACATTCCGCTAAGTTTTGCAGTGAAACCACTCGGAAGTGATCACTCTCCATTCCACAGTAAAATGGTCGTTAATGGAGGTTGGTCGTTCTTTGGGCTTCCATTGACTTCAAGATGTTATACAGGGTGCATAGCATTTTTAAGAAGTGCTTATTTTCAATTTTTTTTTTAAAAGCCCTTAAAGGTGCTTTTTCCCATGGGTGTTCTTAAAAAGTGCTTAATTTTCCCTTTTCCGAAATGTGATATTTTTCTTCACCATGTAATGATTTTCGCCACAGATTATGCTAAAAGACATTGTCCTATTTAACATTTTTGCAATTAATTCAGCCCCAATCTATTTCGGCGTACCATCGATTTGTAGTGTATGAAAACGCCATTTGTTTAGAATGTTTGACGAAATACTTGCGGATCTGCACTTGTGTATACACCCTTTGTAATAGAATCGAATTTTTCGAAAAGTGCTTAAAAGGTGCTTATTTTTTTTTGAAAAATTTGGCTATGCACCCCGTTATGGAATGTACATGATTTTTCGCAAGATATTTTAATTTTACTCAATGTCATTTTCTTGATGCGGAATATTTGGCTATTCAGCCAAATCACTATTTGTTACATCCCTACTTAAAAGTTCAATTTACCATGTGCTGAAGGAAAATGAAACATAAAAATAATTTTCCATCCAATGATCACAATTTTCATGCAATCTTCTTGATTCAAAGGATTGAGTTAAAATATGCTAATTAATTAGTTCGGATGATATTTTATGCTGCGAAATTGGACATGAAAACATACTTTTACTGAATAAATATTAATATTTTTATGCAGAACTTCATCTCCAGAATATAGCTGTCAGCAGCAATCTGAGAAATATGTTCCCAACTGTTTATTCATTGTTTTCTACTTACAGCTGTAAGCCTCATGCTATACTTTGTGGTGCATGAGGAGTTTTAAGTCGTTTAAATAAAATTTAAAAAAAAAAGAAAAGAAAAAAAAACTGTTTATTCAGCAGAGTGGTCAAATTTAGATTTTGAGTTTTTTCATTTAAAATAACCTAAGGAAAAAATTTTATAAAAATGAATATACCTTACTATTTTTTGCTGATATGTTACTGAGTCTTTTTATTGTGTGCAAAAAGTTAGCAAATTGTTAAAATAGTTCAAGAAATATGAGGAAATGCTTATCAAGGGTAATTAGCAGTAAGATATCTAAAGACTTGACAACTTTTTTTTCTTTTTGATCTTCAAAGTGCGTTTTGAGGGTCAAGAAAGGATCCAAATCTGTTAAAGGCTAGGAATGCTTATTCTAGGAAATCAGATTTTGTTTCTGATTTAGATTATCGTCGACGATAATTAATTAGTATATTCCAAGTTAATCTAATCATCAGGACAAAAGTTATTCAGTTGTTCTCTTTTTAATATTGCTCACAATGAAATAATATTCACTAAAATTTTAAGTAACTATAGACTACATGCAAAAAATGTCTTAAATTTTAAAATAATTCTTTAAAAATTATTGCCCTTCATAAACATGGAAGTATTGTTTTAATTAAAAATGCTGTATTAAATTATTTCATATCACAATCTGTGATAATAACATTTTAAACTATGTTATTTAATATATAAAAATATGATATTTAGTCTCTATATATCATATAGAGACTAAATTAAAGAATAAATTAAAGAAGTGTATACAAAATTAAAGAATTATTTATGTTTTTGTAATGAACTTGTTACTTGAAATTTTTTTATTGAAAATATTTTGTTGTGCTACAACAAAGATTGAAAAACACTCATACGAAAACAAGTGTGAACAAAATTTGTGTGTTGATTTTCCATCATTTAATATTATACTCATAGGTACATAAAAAGAAAACAGTAGATGTTAAAGTGATCCTGGAATTAAAAAAACTTCTCGAAGAATCAGGGAAATGCATGACATCCTAATCAAAGCATTATTTTCTCTTAAATATTATTTTATTCCATTGTGTTCTGCATACTTAAAAGTAATAACTTTTTACTCTGTTTGCTGTATAAAGTCCATTTTTTTTTTTTTTTTTTTTTTTTTTTTTTTTTTTTNTATATATATAATATTTAAAAAAATAAAATAACTAACTATTACACTTTTTCCTAACATTTACCGTTTTGTAAAATTTAAGTTCAAGGTGCTGTTACCTTTCTAAAGGAGTAACATGTCCTTTTTGTATACTTCTAAATATTTATTTTCGGAAAGATGCATACCACTGAACTTGTTATTGTTTCATTATTTTAATGACATACACAATGCCTGGGATATTACGAATCGGTTCGTGACGTAACTGTATTGTGTATAAATACTTCGGATATTGTGTTATCATTGCTGATGTTCATATTATTTATTCTGTCATGCTGTAGTGTGCTATCTTGTTTATTTCTCTTAAGATGTTGTAACCTTTCTCAGGGAACCTCTTGCTCTCCTTCATAGTCATTTTCGTATTTACTCGTAATAAATGATTTTTTCAACCGTTTTAACGATGTTTTGTCCTTTGAAGTCCCTCAATGGGTTATGAATGCTTTTGTGAATATTGAAGCAGCAGAGGTTTAGATTCAGGAGAAATTGGTTGAACTTTCAACTAATGAAAATTTGAAACAGTGATCGTCTCACAGATGTTTGGCTTTAGAGTGACATTAGTCACCTCTACCCTGAACTGTAGACTATTGCCTTCCCTTCCTCCTACCTTTGCTGAATAAAGATTCAGTGTTTTGACAGATCTAGTCACAAAAAAAGAAAACACGAGGACTTGCATCCTCACCTCACTAAAAATATTGAACCGAACGTTAAGAAACATGCTCTGAACAATCTGGCACAATCATCCCACTGACATAGATCAAGGTGCGTAGCGTTTTTAAAAAATGCTTAAAGGTGCTTATTTTTGATATTTAAAACCCTTAAAGGTGCTTTTTTCATTGGGTGTTTTTAAAAGTGCTTAATTTTCCCTTTTTTCAAAATAAGATTTTTCCTTTACCATGTTGATTTTTGCCACGAGTTATGCAGAAAGACACTTCACATAGTTCTATTCAAAATTTTCACAATTAATTCAACCCTAATCTATTTCGCGTACCGTCGGTCTGTAGCGTATGAAAACGCCATTTTTTACAATATTCAAAATTTTATAAATTTAGACAATTGTCAAGAGCTGGGCCAAAAGGCTTTTTTTTTGTTTTTTTGACAAGACGGATAAAACTGTCAATTGTCGAAAACTTGCCCACCCTGCCTAATTATGATATTTCTTTTAAAGTGCTGAAAAATATTTTTTGAGTGTTTGAAAAGTGCTTATTTTTAGTTGAAAAATTTGGCTACGCACCCTGTAGTTACTTGATTGTTTCGTTGATACTACTTTTCAGAGTAGACAAAAATATTTGGGGTGTCTTTTTAATTATCTAATAAAGAATAAATTACTTTTTTTAACCATAGGTTTCTTTGTTGTATTGTTCATTACCATATTTATTTTGATTGTAACAAATAGACTGCCATTGCTTGCTGGTCGAGAAGTATCGAGTTAACGTGCACATAAATTTAAAAAAAGAAAAAGAAAATCAATCAAATTTAATGAGTAAAAAAATTGCTTAAAATGTTGCGTCTTATAATTAACTCCCCCCCTCTCCTACCCCATACTCTAAATAACTTGACTTTCACTAAGGGGGCATTTAAATTTTTTCTGCTTCTTAGGGGGCCTCCAACGTTAAAAAGGTTGGGAATCTATGGTTTAGAGAGTGCATTAATTTCTCACGTTAACAAATTTATAATGTGAGAAGGATGAGTTTCTCACGTTGTTGCGCTGCAGTAATAAACACTGTATATATGTGTGTGTTGTAAAGGAAATTTTTTACTCATCTGCCTTTCTAAAAAGGCAGTTGTTTTCAGTAAAAGTGAGAGAGAAAGAGGTACATTGTATTTAATTTGAAATTGCTTTTTTAAACAATTTGCAAATATTAAACAATTTTTACAGGTTTTCTTAAAAGCTTTAACAATTTCAAAATGAAATTCAATGCCTTTTGATGCATCAGTTTTATTTTTATTTATTCATCTTTTGTGCGAATAGCAAATTGCCAAATATTATGTTCTATCAACTAAAGTTTTTGTTCATAAAATATTCAATTCTGTATTTTTCTGCTGGATTGCTATATCTATATTGTTGTTGTATGTATATTGAATATATTGTTACTTATTATACTTTCCTTGCAGATTAAGTACAATAAAAGAGAAAATGCATCAGGAACAGTCTCCACCAATCATTCAAAATGTCATAAAAACAATGCCACCACCCCCTTGTCCAAAGTGTCCAAAACTGAATGAGGAAATTATGTCTTTAAGGATAGCTTTAAGAGATAATGAAAAATTAAGAGATACTTTAAGTAGTGATTTAGAAAGTCGAAAAGTTATTAATGAAGATTTAAAACGAGAGCTTCGTAAATTAAATGACAAGGTTTGTGTTTAAATGATCATAAATCTATTTTATTAAAATATGCATGTTTTTATAGTAATTTTATCTGTGATTTTCTGGAATAACATGTTAATTGCAGTTTTTTATTAAGTGAAAGAAATTGTATTCACTTGTATGCATTGTGATGTTTTTAATAGCTCCTGTATTAATCTAGTAAAAGTAAACTCAATGTTTATGTTCAAGTTCAATGCAGGTATGAGACTTCTGCAAAGAAGCGAGAATCCGTTTTTTCTGCTAATTTTTAAAATTTCCGACCATGTTCCAAACACTTACTTTTTTGGGGAGTCCAATTAGAGAAACCCAAGCTGTGTGCTTAAAAATCGTGTGAGTATGCTCACACCATTTTAAAATCCAATATTGCGATTCATATTCAAACGATTTTAAAATCCAATATAGCGATTCTTGAAAGAAGTTTTTTCTTGAATTAGTTACGATAAAGATATATATCCTTCATTCCTATATTCTTCATTAATAAGTAATTCAGTAGTCGCGACATCCTATAATTGCTTAATCTTCTTTCATATAGTAGTGGTCAAAATTTTACAATTATATGTAAGAAAAATTTAAATTACACTGTCTAAATGCTTTTCTCACTTTAAATATTAAATTAAAATCTCCCAGCAGAGATAAAAGTTGCATTTATATATCTCATCGATATAGCAGTATAATATCGAAGTGTGCTCCTCCCCGTGACTGTGTTTACTTTTTTTTATTTTTGTCCACTTTCATGCCTGTCAATGGGTAAAAGTAAATTAGACTCCAGATGATTCATTGTAAAGAAATAAGTCTAAAATGATTGTAAATGTAATCATTTCCTTCACTCAAAGTCATTGTGTTGGATTTAGTCTTTGCTTGTCCAACATAATCATTAAAAATTTATTTGTATTATAATGTTAATTACTAGTTCATTCTATTAACTTTAAATTTCAAATAGTAACATAAATTAAATTTCATATAATTTCAAATGAAACAAATTAAATTTCATATGGTTACGTTTGTATTTTTAAAAAAAAATTATTTATTATTGTTTTAAAGAATTTTGAAATCAATGTATAATATTTTTTAAGAGTTGGTTTGAGTATTCAGACTTAACATTATTTGCTTAAGGTATCCGTACACGTTGAAAAAGTGATTTTTAGCCAAAAATGACAAATTTTTTTTATTTTATATTACGAATCTCCGTTTATTCTAGTTTTCAAAACAGTTTAAATTTTAACTGTGCGTCAATTAGAACAAAAGTTATGATTAAAAGAATATTAGTCGATGACTAAAAAATGAAACCGGAAATAGCATTCCGAAACCGGAAGTGGGACAAAAACAGTTATATTTATCTTTATTTTGGGATAATTATCTTTCTTTGACTTAAATAATTATTATTTTAATGTTGCTAGAAATGAACCTCTCAATTTATCATTTATATTAGTAGCTTTAATTGCATTATTTGGAAATTTGTCTCTAAGGAGGTGTTCGTTGAATTGCAAACATTACAATTTGGTGTGTATTTGGCTGTTATTCAGTTTAATAAAGGTTTTCTGGGACTGAAAAGCATACTCGACATAGTTGGAGTCAGCCGTGGCAATAAAACTTTAAAAGGTTTTACAGAACTTGATTTTGAGCCTGTGTATGAGTCTCAACGCCATTCATTAACTAATGCAAAAATTGTCAGAAAAAAAATAGGGTTGCAAAAAAACAAAAAATTTGTAAAATTGAGAAAAAGGAAGGTATCACATACAAATCGGGAGAATTTTAGAAGTATTGAAGCATTTTTAAAATAGAAATGATATAATTTATACTTTAAATGCCTTTTTCTCAGAATGTAATTTCCCGCAAAAATAGTAACTTTCAAAATTCATTATTAAAAAAGTTGTTGATATATTTCAATAAAAAGTTGTATGTGTATTATGTATAATGTTTTCTAGTGCTTGTGCTACAATTGATTAAAAATACTTAATAGTTTTTTATTATTGGTCTGAANAATTTTTCCGCCATTTTTTAAAAAGAATGTTTTTTCCCTCATAAGATTTTAGGATTTTTCTTTCTTTTTTGAAAGATGTTTACCTTACCATCATTTTGGAAATAATCATTTGTGTATAACTACGTTTTTTCAAGATTATTTCCAAATATTAATATTTTTAGTTTGGTTTAACAATAAAAAAAACAGCTTTTTGTAGCGATTCAGAAAACCGGCAAAATCAGTTATCCGGAATAGCGATGGTCCCGATCGTTCTGGATAATCGGTTCCCTATTGTATAATATTTTTTAAGCGTTGGTTTGAGTATTCAAACTTAACATTATTTGCTTTAAAAAAAAAAAATCAGTTTTCAATGTGTGTTTTTAGTAGCATATATGTTTAGTATGTGATTTGTTAATTTAGTGGTATTAATAAAAATTGATTATGTTATTTTAATAGTTCTTTTTATAATTTTAAAATCAAGTTTTACTATACTCTAACATTAAATTATAAAGAACTTCAGAAATTCATTAAAAAAATTTCTAGCGTTGCTTGGATGCATGCATATGTTCTTGAGAATGTAGTTACACCAATAATAAATGAAATTTCTTAACTGCATAGGAATCTGCATAAATAAAAAAATAAATAAAGTCTTATTGTTTTTTATTCTTGATTCTGAATGCCTTATTTTGAAGAAAAATACTAATTTCTTTGTCATTTTCTATTATCATTTCTTAATATTTCTAAAAATATAAATAAAAAAGGTTGTAAATCAATAAATTTAAAAAGAATATTTTTGAATAAATGTTTCTTCAAGATAAAGTTGAAGGCAAGAAAGGGATTCCAAAATAAGGATGAATTTCAAATGAAAGATAAAATTGTAGTAGAAAATTCTACGAGAACTATATGTCCATTTTTTTAATATTATCTCATTATAGCTGATATAACCTAAATTTTTTTTTTTTAAATTATAAAATGTTGAGAAAACTTTGCAACTAGAAATAACTAAAGTAAATGAGAGATTGGAATGAATGAAAAATTTTCATCACTTTTTAAATATTTTAGATTGTTTGCACAGCTGTTAAATCTTCAATATTTTAATTTTTACAGAATAATGAGCTTGAAGAAAGTCTAAGTGATCCAAGAATAGTAAGTGCTGGTGTATACAGTCCAAAACTGAAGACATTATGTGAAAAGTTTAGAGAATCTCTGTATAAAGATATAGATAGTGCTGATACCGGTAAGAGTTTGTTTCTTTTAAAAAATTGATGTATATATATGAACCATAAAAAACTTAAATTAATATTTTTATGTGATTCCTTTTCTGTAAATCCTATTATTAAATTATTATTCTAATTGAAACACTTTCTCACAATTTTCAATTCACATCCTGTCCTTAAATCTATTTTTGGCTCAAGCATGCATTAATTAAAAGCAAGAGATTTTCCCCTTTGGTTTTTGTGGGAATCGTGCGACATATTTAATAAACCAATTATAATTACTAAGATTTCTCTTATTCCCTAAAACGAAGCATTTTATGGATTTACTTTGCAAAGCATTTTACGGATTTGGATTTATATAGAGAAGCACAACTTTTTGTGACCACTTTTATAGCTGTTCTCTGTCTAATAATTAATACATTTTGTACCCTCCTTTCCTGCCTAAGACCTGTTTTAATCCTTCCACTTGGCAACAACGTTATATATATANGCTGAAAAATAAATGGTGCGTTGTTGGGGAAGAGATCCCGGATGGAAGGTATCAATTTTGGTTTCAGGATAGTTTCGATGTATTTTTTTGGCATTCAGGATGCCAAGAATCACTTGAATTCGGCCCACAATCATAACATTTGTTGGGTTTTTTGTAGTTGCTTCAATGCAATCAGGATGAAGTGCTTCACCTACTCTACGTCTCACGTATTTTCTATCATCACTACCAAAGAGCGATATTTTACTCTCATCGCTTCAGATTACTTGCTTCCATTGATTTTCTGACCATTTAATGTGTTCTTTTGCCCACTTAACTCGTTTTTCGTTAACTCGTTCTAATGGCATCTGATGAAGTTTTTCTATCTTGAAGGCAAAGCCGCTTAATTTTTCTATCGGCGGTAGCACTTATGCATTTTTTTCGACCTGATTTGGCTTCATTTTCCACTGATTTCGTTTTTTCATAACGTAAACAGAACTTTCGTACACCAGAACAAGTCACTGAACTACTAACTTGTCTTGCAATTTCAGAGAGGCCATTTTCTCTCAATATGACAATTCGTCTTTTTGTAGGTGTCCAATTAGTTCTTCTTGTTGATGACATTGTTTAAAATTAGTTTAATTAAAAGAAAGGACTTTAAAATTAAAAAAAAGCAATACTCTAATTGTACTAGTATGCATCATTCCGCAAAATATTTCCACAACAATAACTCTTTTGCCATCCAAATAACCTAAACTATAGTTACAGACATTTGATTGGTCCTAAGAACAGTGTTTGTGATTGGCTAGTACGCTTTTATTACAAAACACGTCTTTATTCAAAACGATTTATGTTTGTTTGTTCTACTAAAATAGGCATAACTTTTTTTGTAATACAGATATTTTAATTCTGTTTTTGTTATTAAATTACCTTCAATTTGATATATAAACATTTGTATTTAAGTGAAAATTAATATATTCTACAAGCACACAAAGTTGGAAAATATGAAACTTTCAAAAAGTGTCCACACTTTTGGCCACCACTGTATATGTGTAACATAAAAAACTTAAATTAATATTTTTATGTTATTCCTTTTCTGTAATTCCTTTTAATAATTTATTATTCGAATCGAAACACTTTCTCACACTTTTCAATTCACATCCTGTCCTTAAATCTATTTTTGGCTCAAGCATGCATTAATTAAAAGCAAGACATTTTCCCCTTTGGTTTTTGTGGGAATCGTGCAACATATTTAATAGACCAATTATTAATTACTAAGATTTCTCTTATTCCCTAGAACGAAGAATTTTACTCAATTACTTTTCAAGATTTTCCCAAACTTATGTAGAGGAGCAAAACTTTTTGTGACCATCCCTAAGACCTGTTTTAATCCTTCCACAACGTTATGTATATATGTCTATATAATAGTGGCAGTCACGTGAGCAGAAAAAACAGGCACAGGGTTTTAAAAAGAGCAAATTAATTTTATTTAATCAATATGTGATGATTGAAAAAAGATAGTGTGACACAAACTTGTCGTGCTGCTCCATAAAAGTTAGGAAAAATCTCGCAAAGAAAATTTGTAAAATGTCTTGTTTTAGGGAATAAGGGAAATCTTAGCAATTGTAATTGGTTTAATAAATAGAATGTGCGATTCCCACAAAGAGCCAAAGTCCCAGAAATAGATTAGAGGACAGGATGTGAATTTAAAAGTGTGAGAAAGCTTTTCGTTTTGAATAATAAATTAAAAAAAGGATTTACAGGAAAGGAATAACATAAAAAGATAAATTGAAGATTTTTATGTTTATTTATATGTAGTATGTGGTTTTGTATGCAAAAAAAAGTAAGTTCTCCAGAAAAATAAAATAAAAACAGCGTAAAAAGCCCAATTTCATTCAGTTCATCTGTGCTGAGATACAAAACGAATTCAAATGTAACAAGAAGTTAACAAAAAAAAAAAAATTCCCGAATTAATTTCTTGATGCAACTCTGATCCTGTATTTTCTCTTAATTCTGTGTCAATTTGTATATAGATTATGCATTTTTTTTTCACATGTTAAAACATTATTCGATGTTTTTCTCTGGGTCACTCAAAATTTAAAAAATTTATTGGAATTGATAAAAATAATTTTATCTAAAAAAATGAGTGGAGGGGGGTCCTTTTATATGTGCACATGTAATTTCCCATTATCTTGCCTAATTTTTTAATTATAAAGTTTAATTATCATTTGCAAAATATTTTTTAACTAGTAATGTGTTCAAAAGTCGAATGTTTAATTAAATATTGCTCTGTGTTATGATGAGATCCATGATAGTTCTTATCAAAATATACCCAGCACAGTTTTTGTTCAAAATTTCGTTCTTGAATTATTATTTTTTTAAAATTTTCTTTGGCAACTGTGTATGTCCTCATTTATTGTTGTATAGTTAAGTATTTTCTGAGACTCCACTGTTACCCTGTAAAAATATAATTTAAATGTAATTTTGTACATTGAAGCTTTCAAGATCATTTTTTGAGTTGATCAGTCCCTGGAAACATGAGAACACTGTGCAATTCTAGATATTTGCAAATAATTTAGAAAGGGATACATCAGTTCACTTTGCATCCTTCTTTTATAATTTGTGAATATTGCAGTGATACTTTATCAACTTTCTGCAAAGCAGTATTTAAGAACAACATTAAAAATGCTTTGTATTAGATTAAATTGGGTTTAATTAATTAGTTAATAAATCAACCTGATTGACACTTGTGCTTTTTTTCTCTATAAATTGCTGCATTTCTTAATTACTTTGGGTTTTTATACCATATTTTTCATTCCTTTTTATAAAATTGTTTATACAATGTGTAAAATAAAAGTCGTTATTTATTGTTGCACACTGCAATGTTAAGGAAGCAGCCTTTTTACGTTCCATTCATCAGTTTTATTTCATAAAACTAAAAGCATGCTAAATCTACTAAAAAGTAAAGAAAAAGATACAAGTTTAAAGTTCTTTTAATGCAAAGAGTACTTTATTACTATAACATAAGGTAGAAATTGAAAAATTTAATGAAGACCGCCACTGTCCATGATGGCCACAGATATCTGATTTGCCATTGTTCCGGAAATCTGTGGAATTATGTTTTTTTTTTTTTGCTTGATTTTCCTCATAAGATTTAATTAAGAATTCTGACAATGCAAAAATAATATATATAAAACTTGGAATAATAATATATATAGAATATAATATATAGAATGAATATATGAAAAATAATATATATAGATTATAAGTTGAACTGGGATACTATTCAGGAATTGTGCTCAAGAAGTATCTTATCCATTCTAATCAATTTGTTATTTCAGAATTCTTAAGACTTTTAAACGATATTATTAAGAAAAATACTTCATAAGGGATTCATTTCGTTGATTATTTCTTACTGTCACTGATGTTTTCCTGAAAGAAATCACTGGAGTTTAACTAAGTGAAGTAATTTGAACATTGTCAAAAGATAATACAACTAGGAAGCAAAATGTTGTACCTTTGTGTTCTGCAGTGTGTAAAAAAATTTTATAAAGGAAAATTGGGGGTCATTTATTTTTGTTGTTGCTATTTTTAGAAAATGAAATAAAATCTTGTGTGTTAAAGATAAGTTATTTAAAAATGGATCTCTGTACAGCTTATTTAAAATTGTTCGTATTTGATTAATGATACAGGGATTGCGAAATTTTGAAAATGGGGAATGACTATGGGATAATTCACAAATTAATTTTTAACGAAATATGTTTAGTTGCATTTGGAAATGGTGAAACATAACAAACATTATGTTCTGTTTAAAAAATATTAATCAAATTACAATTTATTAACAGAATATTGCAGATTCTTTATTTAAAATGATTCCAATTGAGAAATAAAAAAGTAATGATATGTTGAAACAACTGACAGAAGCATAAAGTACTTTTTAAATTTATTTTAGATTTCATATAACAACTCTTTTGAACTGTAATTAAGAAGTTTCTATGGTTGAAATTGTGTGCTAAGTTCAGTTTTTTCTTCTTCTTCTTTTTCCAAAAACCTTATGTGGCGTATCTGTTTTATTTTGATCCAAATCAAATTTTAGTGCTCCTGTGCCACTGTTAAATTTGAACCCTGTCTAATAGTCTAGATTTATGTTAGTGGTAAGTTTTTTCTCCTTTAAATCACCTTGGATTCTAAAATTATTCAATATTGTTAATCTAAGTGTTTAAAAAATTTCTTTATGTATTTTTTAATGAATAGTGAGTTAAGGAGCTGCCTGTACCCTCTTTTATGTCATAGTGCACATATTTTTGTCTTAAAGTATTAAGAAATGTAGATTTAAAAAAAAGATCCTTAATTTATATTCTATTTTTATACTAATTTGTAGCTCTGTCTGAATTTATGTTAAGCGTTCTTTTTCTTTTAGGTTCTCAAGAGATGCTAAGTAATGTCTCAACTGTTACAAAGTAAGTACATTTTGAAGCTGATTATTAAAAAAAAATTTTTTACACCTTCAACATTTTATCTAGAATATATAAAGCCATCTATGATCTATGCTTACTTTATTGGACTTCCCATTTAGATACAATTGCCATGATCTTATGTTTAGAAGCAATATGCTGTATACTTAATTTTTATCTACATAAGTTTTATTTTAAACTTTGACATTTTGTATGTAAAAAATAAGGGGGGGGGGATGTCTCGTAAGATGTAATAATTTCCACTGAGTTCTGTCTTTTTACTTGCTTGTTCTGATTAATAGCACCCATGAAAAATGATTTTATACTAAAAGCCAATCATGGACTGATATTGTGCTTTGCTTCAGCTACGAGGAAGGAATAATTAAATGTGCCATAATTTTCTCAAATTTCATCCTTAGTTACAAATAAGAGCAGCTCTTCCTTGCCAATACAAGGTAAAAAATGCCTTGTGTTTTGCGACATGCTTACTATATTTTAAATACTTAATATAGTTTATTCAGAGTTCTCCCTACGAATTAAAAAGGGCAGGATGCTTCCTTACAGAAAAGGACTCGTTCAATTTTTTGAAAGGGCACTCACTTACTACCGTTAAAATTTATCAAAATGTGTAATATGTTATAACTAAATTTAATTCTCAATTTTTAAATTCCATTTTATACCACTATATGTCTATATTTCACAAAGTAATTTTCAAAATATATTATCAAAATTTGAAGCTTTAGAAAAATAATAGAAGTTAAGCTAAAAAACAATTTCTGTGTATGAAATTTCTTCAGAAAAAAAAAAATCAAACTATCGAAAGTATTAATTGATAAACAGCTTGAAATATTTTTTTTATATTTTAAACTAAAAATTATGAGAAAATAAACATTTAAAGGTGCATTTTTAGATAAAAGCTATTTATTTAAAAAACTAATGGTTAAATTTAAAGCCACCGAAAAACTCAAACTCCCCGCCCCCCACACTCATAAAAGTGTTGAAGATCTCTGGGGACTAATATAATGCGAATTTTAATTATATAACAAGACAATGTAACAAAAATATTACTAATGAAATGAAAATTTAAAGTATTCTGAAAGTTAAATATATATCAATAACTAAATAAGTCAGAAGAGAACTTTTCCTTGAAACAGGTGGTTAAGAAAACCTTTTCCTCAAAAAATAAAAAGGTAGCATTTTTTGAGGGATGGCTTATAATTCTTCAAATATTGACTATGTCCTTTTGGTTTCTTTCTTATCATCAGATGCATTTTTTTGATCAATTTTCATATCTGCAAAAGACTGAAGTTAAAGTTTATAACTTCAAAATTAAGCTATTAGTCGCAGTTATAAAAACTGATACGAGGCGCATCCAGAAAGTAAGTTTTACTAATTTATAAAAAAAAAAAACCTCACACTTTCAGAATCATATTTATTGGCAATGAGTACACCAATGTTTAAGCTATTTTTCAACATAGCCACCACCAGAATTGAGACACTTGTATCGTGGGATCTACTTTTGTATCCCTCTGTCATAGAACTCTGCCGTCTGTGACTGGAACCAGCATGTGACAGACGCCTACCGTTACTGTGACCGTTCCTGCAAAACACTGCGGAAATTGTGACTTGCCATTCAAAACAAGAGTCGTGGAATGTTAACTGCAGGTTTTGTTTACTGCGCTCCTCTATGATAATGCCTGTCCGCATACGACATGACGCACAGCAGCTGTTTTTATGGAATTTGGCTGGGAGTTGTTTGATCATCCACCCTACAGCCTGATATTGCTCCTAGTGATTTTCACGTCTTCTTGCACCTCAAGAAATTCCTGTCCTGCGGTGAGTGTTTTGGCAACGACGAAGAACTGAAGACGTGTGTTACACGTTGGTTCCATTCACAGATGGCAGAGTTCTGCGACAGAGGGATACAAAAGTTGATTCCACGATATGACAAGTGTCTCAATTCTGGTGGTGGCTATGTTGAAAAATAGCTGAAACGTTGTTGTACTTGTTGCCAATAAATATATTCCTGAAAGTGCGAGTTTTTTTAAAAATATAAATTAGGGAAACTTAACTTTCTTTATGCACCTCGTAATATTTTAAATGATTTATAAATATTTGTAAAATGTGGTCATAAGCATCTTATTTTATTTTTGAAAGTATTATAGTCATTACTCAGTGATTCCGCTTTAAGAACTATAGCTATTAAACACACTGAAAATCATTGGTGGATCAAAAAAGTTACAACATGCAGAATTCTCAGTTTCAAACATAAAAATGGTGTACCAGAAGATTTATATAGGCAATGCATCTTATGGGCTTGTAACTTCCTAAGTCTAGCAAAATCACTCATCCTACTTTCATACAATCAAAATTTATTTCTGTTAATTACAGAACAATTAACTGAAAAAAATAAAATTCAGAAAAGTGCCTCATTCCTATTTTATGTTTTTTATTGTAACTAGCATAACAAGGTTAAGAAAACATCGAAACTTTTGATATTAACTTGCTCTATAATTGCTTTTATTGAATAATTTTTAAAAACTATCAGAACGTGAAATTAGTGGTGGTTTGTTTTATTTAAAAAAATTTTTTTATACACTATGACCTAACTTAAAATTTGCTCACATTAGTTAATATTAAAAACGATCGGCCATAAATTAAATATTTAAGTCAATAAATTTTAGCAGAATTAGTAAAGAATTAAAGAAAGATTTAAAATATTTTTTAAAATTTAAAATAAAGCTGTTTACAAATTTCCTCAAAGTGTATGTACATACATTCATCTTACCTTATTTAAAATAATCAATTATGCAGGTCTGTCTCGCTTTTGGTTTCATTTTTCGAACAATGTTTTTTAGATTTTGTAACTTCTCAAAATGTTGCTCAGCTCCTTCATGATTTGTAAAAAAATTTCGTATGCCATTTATTGCATTGAAGGCTTCTACTTGGGTTACAGCTACAGTCTCAGGATCACTGTCCATATCTTGTGAAACAATTTCAGAAATTGTAGCTTGTTCATTGGCTGGAACATTTTCATAGAACTGAAGAGGGGTAATTGCCTTGTAAGGAAGTTAAATAGGCTTTTGTTAGAAAAGAGCTCCCCTCGCCTCAGATAAAAATGACCTTATAAGCGATAACGATTTTTAAAACTCGACTATATATCTGATAATCTGTGACAAAGAATTCCTATTCAGTGAGCCGGGACTTTGGAAAAGTGACCTTATATGCGGGATGACCTTATATCGAGGTCTGACTGTACCTATGAAGTTATAAAAGTTAAATACCTATTAGAACTAACAAAATATATTTCTGACCACTTTTACTTAAATTTGAATAATATTGTGTTACAAAAAGTATTTTTTTTCACGTTAAAAACTAAACTAGAAAAACACGGTACTTCGATAAATAGATTGTATTGTTCTCAAAGTTATAAAAATATTTTCATTCAAATAACTAATTTTTTTTAGAAATAATTATACTAGACATGTAAAAAATTAAAAACAAAACATTTTAGGCTTTTTGTTTTTAATTTTCCTGTAATCACTTATTTCTATTCCAGCAATTGTTCATTTACTGTACCTTCAACTAGTGGATTTGTTACCAACAACAGAAACCAGTCACAGTTAAGAGGTAAATAAGTTTCCTGTTCGTTTTAAAATTTGATGTAAATATATTTTCTTTTGTAAACACTGGTTTTTCTGGTAGGAAATTTTAATTACGAAATTTAAGTATGAAATTTGTTACAGACTCGGTTAAAAAAACTCATACCTAATTTGTTTTTTTAAATTAATATAACAAAAACTTTAATAATGTTATTTTTCTGCTAGCTAGTTAATATTTAATATGATTATAATGCAGATGAAAAATACACAAAAAATAAATTTAACGTAAAGGGGTTCATACTTTGGACCACTCTCCTGACAAAAAACTATGGAGGCCATATTTCCCAAATTGCTTCTACCTCTATATTTTAAGGGCCAAAAATAAATCCCAATCCGTTGAAAAAATGGTATGTTTATTCAGTGAAAGTACATTTTTGTATCTGATTTGGTAACTTAAAATAATGTCCGCACTAATTAATTGGCATATTTGTGGTCAACCCTCTAACAATTTAGGTAAAGTTCTAGAACGTGAAGCTCCGATCATAGGATGAAAAGTTATTCCGGGTGATCTGTTATTGTTTATATGTTTGCTTATTTTTTTGTGCCCTCTGCAATTCTATTTTAAGGACTGATTATATAAAAATTCGATTTTTCTCAGTTTCTATGTGTATTTGTAAACAATTATAAAAAAAACTTTAATTTTTAAACTTCTCATTCCTATATTTCTCAATATCTACTAACATTTACTTCTTCGTAGCGTACTTTATTTATTATTTAACACTGTATTTAATTCTTCGATATGAAATTCCCTTAAAATTTAAAAGAATAACATTTTTACTATGTGCAATAATGTGTCATTTTTTAATATTCTTATACATTTAGTGCGGTTATCCGGTTTTTCAAGTTCAATTGTAGGTTTTTAAAAGCTAGGTGATAATCTAATAAAATTGTTTTGAGCACATTCTTTTGAAACATGCCAAAAATTGGTACGCTGCATTTAAAATCAATCAGTAATGTAAAAGGGATATTTCTTATGAAATGAAATTGATTGGTTAAAAATTACAAAGAATAATAAGTATTTTATCACATTTTACCTAAACATGCATACTTAAAACATATCCGAATAAAAATTTAAAGTTCCTGACAAGTTGAAAGTTGTTAAATGCTTTAAAACAAAACCAAAATCTTTCAATAATTACAAAAAATAACCAGGTCTTTAAAAATTAATGTATAATAATTGTAATAAAAACAAATTATACCATGCGATGAATTACACTAAATAACTAATAACCACATTTATGAACTATATTAATACTTCTCGTTTCATCAAATTAGTTAAGTAATGATCAAAATAATTTTAAAGTTCATTAATTGGTTTATATGATAGCACTTACACCAAAAAGTGATAAGTATAGAAATCTTTCATTGAATTATTTATATTAATTTTTATTAACTTAAAAATAGTTTTTTTAAAAAAATTTATTGAGGGGTCACATGTCCCACCTTGACACTATGCGTACGATCTCTACTAAAGAAAGATTATTTTATGATTGAAATATAATTGTAGTAAAGATTAATAAATTAATATAAAATGAATGAATTAAATTTTAATGATTACTGTGTTTACTTTTTTTATGTGCATAATTATACAATCTTTCTACATGTATGTAATTGTCACCCATGTATTTTATTGTTAGCATTTTGTATGGCTGAGGATGAAGCAGAAATGTTGAGCCAAAGCAGTATATCTGAAATGCAAAGTGATACTCCTAATCAGAGACTCAAGGAAATTAATAGGCGCAACACTTTGTGCCTGCCTCACCTGAAGAGTCAATACCCTCTTGAATTGAACACAACACCTTCGCAGCATAAATATTTTCGACCACCGGCCACGCCATCATGTTCAAAAGAAAGTAATCATTTGGCCAAAAAGGTAAAGTATGGCAATCTAAAGTATAAATATATCTAAGTACCTCCTGCTTCAGAATTTGTACACACCTTAAAAGTGCTTAATTTTGATAGGGTACTCTTAACAGTATGTAGCATTTTTAAAAAGTGCTTATTTTCGTTTTTTTAAGAGACCTTAAAAGTGCTAAATATTCCTTTTTTAAAATATTTTTTACTTCGCCATGTTGTTTTTCGCCACGGATTATGCAAAAGCATGCTTTTTGCTTTGTTCTATTCAACGTTTTCACAATTCAATAACAATCTATTTCGGTGTCCTGGCGGTCCATAGCGCATGAAAGCTCTAATCATGTTACATCTTTGTTGAAATACTTGGGAGTCCACATATGTGTCTTCTGAGTTGGGTTCTGTGAAATACTTGCACTCTCATGTGCAACTCTGCAAGATATTCTCAATTTCAGGCTTCATTTTTCACAGTCTGATATCGAACCAAAAACACCTCTTCAATTTTTTATAATGGCAAGAAAAGAAATCTTTATCAGAAACGGGATATTTTATCATGATCATGTAAAGTGTTTGAGAATAATTTTGCATTTTCTTAATATATATAGCGCTTAAAAATATTTTTTAATGCTTAAAAGGTGCTTATTTTTTGGTTGAAAGATTTGGCGACGTATCCTGAAGTGTCAAAACCTAACTTTGTATAAAATGTCGGTATTTATCACTCCTAAATTAGCAACCATTTCTATCTTGCAGCGCAAAATTTCCAATGCTTCATCAGTTCGCTCTTCATTTGCATCTCTCATGTCAAAGCCGTCAACTTCAGGAATAAAGTTTCATCATTCTTCTACACCAAAAGTGAAGAATTTCATCACTAAAATGCACAAGACCAATACGAGTGCTGCCAGGTTGCATATCCGCCGCACATCTAAAGATTCCACGCAGAAGTGAAAATTTATATTCCTGTTATCATTGTCGTTGTATACATATTGATGTGTAAAAATTTATGCCATTGTTGTTCTTTTTTTTTGTCATTGTTCCTAAAAGCTATTGTGATTGACACTTCAGGCCCTCTACTGTCTATCATCTTTTATTTTGCAGTTCGAATTTGATTTTGTTATCTTAAAATTATTTTAAATTTGGAATATTTGAATGAATCTTTTTGTCCATTGAGAAAAACTGTGCAAGCACATCTGTTGAAAGTTACGTATTTAGGTAAACAAAGCTAAAGTTACTTGCTATGTAACATTTCTTAAAGATAGGACACTTGATTCAAAATGAAGGCAGCTGCGGAGGGCCTAGAGTAAGATTTATTGTACTTGTGTTCTTTTTTTTTTAAAATCATTCTCTTGATATTAATAAAGATTAAAAAGTATATGTAAAATTTTTTGTGTGGTTCGTTTTAATTTTCCGGTTCTTGAGTGCTGGATTGGTAAACAAGACTGGTATCAAAACACTTATTCTGCTATAGCATATTCTTTGCAGATGAATTTTCTTATAGTTTGATTAGGGTGGGGAAATTATAATTTTGTTGAAGACAATTAACGGGTCTTAAAAAAATTAATATGAGTATCAACAATCACAGCTGCCAATATGGATAGGAAAAAATCCAGTTAATTTTACGAAATAATATAAATTTCACGATAGCTGTTAATATTTTTTCTCATCTAGGGAATTTTATTGTTATCAAAAATTTTATTACTCTAATAGAAATATAAATTATCTGCAATAATTTCTAACTTTCAACTTTAAATAGTAATGAACAAGTAAATCTTTATTGATAAAAGATTATGTAATTTAAAAAGGAAGTTCTGAATAAAAATAAACTGAAATTTTTAAACCGATTACTATTAGAGAGGCTCGCTTCATTATGTACTAAAAATACTTATTTAAATATTCATGCAAGCAATTAATTGTGTAGTAATTCTATTCCAATAGGAATTTTTTTGTTTTGAAAACTTCAATATTATAGGGAATTTTCTAAAATATACAAAAACCGGGAGAATTATTAGTCCAGGAGAAAATGGCAAAATTCAGTAGAGTTGGCAGCTCTGAATATTATTTGAAGTGTCTATAGGATGTCTTTCAATTATACTTCCTTTGTATAACCAAATATTTAGTGGGTGAAGTCTAAAAACAACATAATTTAGAAAAAAAATCTATAGGAATTGGCCACTTTATTAATAAACATTTAATGACACATGTTCCAAAAAAATATTCCTTTTGTTGTCTTCCAAGTCTAGTTAAGTATGCAGTAAAGGCTCAATATAACGAGTACAACAAACTAGCTATTACTACAAATTTTCTCACTATCAAGATGAACTAAAATTACTCTAGATATGTAATTTAAATCTTATGATAGTTCACAATAGTAAAAATTTAGCTCTATTAAGACTTTTACTGTACTTAAATTGCGACTATTCTTTATAGATACTAATCATTCAACCTGCATTATTCTTAATTTAAATATAACTGCATACAAAGTGAAGTCTGAAGTTCAAAACCAAATATTTTTGTTATAAATTTCTTGATCACAATAGTTCTTTGGAAACGATAAATGGACTTAGCAATAGAATCTGGTCTAGCAGACAGAACTAGGGCATATAAGAATAAAATCGGGTACTAAGATAGTTTGAATTTTTTTAAAATTCTGTGCCAACCTTGCGCAACTTCAAAAGTAACTAGCATCATCAAAATCGCAAAATTTGCAGTTCTGATAAGACTTATTAACCTACAAGATCAACTTTTAACTATCTTGAGTCATTTACTGTCAAGCCAATTTTTTCTATTGTTATCTGTACAAAATTGAATTAGAATCAAACTCCATAGCCCCATTTTTATCTCTTACAGTATTTCCCCCTATCAGTTTATCTTAACTTGTGGGAGGGAAATCAGTTTCCCAATATTTTTTGAAACTAGCAAACCAACTTTAGTGAAAATCAGTTTGAAAATTTTAACTATCATGAGTTGACCTCTAGCAACAGCTATAGTGAATGATACTGATTACATTTATTTTGATGGCTTGAAGTCCTAAAAACTTTTTTTGCTTGATCTAATAGCATAAAAGGTAAATAATAATTGAATTATTAATTGTATTGATATATGTTTCATGCAGGAAGTGTCCTTCAGTACTGATTTATTATTAACTTTTTTTTTTAATTTGTACAAAGAGTAGGTTTTCAGCTAGTGTTTAAATATGTTCTTTATATGGCTAAATATTGAAACACTTGTCAATATGAGCTAAAAGAAAATGGCGAACAGCAAAATAAAACACATTTTTATTGAAAGTTAATTATTTTTGTCCATAATATTTTTTCAATCTACTTGGGTTTAACATTTGTTTCAATTACTTTTTACAAAGAAAAGTCTGAAAACACTGTTCACAAAATTATAAATTTATCACATTGGTAGATAGACAAAAATATATCTTTTTAATTTGCATCGCTCTCTTTATAAGTTAAAATACATAAATACTTGGAGAGAAATGCAGGTAAAAAAATACAATCACCTAGTTCAATAACTTTTTTTCTTCCAGAGATAAACCTTAGTTAATTAAAAGGGAAGTACTAAATGCTTTGTAAGTAAAGAACATTTAGAAAATAGTATAAAAATGAGGTTGTGTATCAAACAATTATTGCTAGAAAAACTTTCCTTGATACAAAAGGATTCCAATTTCCTTGAATGCTGGCTATTAACCAAACCATACAAAGATTTCTTTGTAAGTCTGATTGAATGTACAGTTTGATGACGGAAGTTACAATGCTAAGCCAAACCGTATGTACATGTATAAAATAGGATTACTGTATAAAAAGTAACAGATAATATAAAAATACATTTGTATTCCTTCTTATTCGTGATGTTAAAAGTAAATAAATAATAAAATATTAATACTGATACGTTGATTTTAGGGGGAAAAAAAGCTAATTCTAGAAGACTTTAAATGCAAAATAGTAAATTGAATAACTGGATTCGTCCATTTTGTAATAAGGCAGGCCGATTGGAAAAAAATATCTAGCATTTTTCCTGACAACTGGCACATTTAGGGTTTAATAGTTCACACATCTGAATAATGCATAATTAATTAAAATATTCATTGCTGAATTAGACTAATTTATTTCAGACAATTTGCAATATTTCCAGAGTAGTGAAGACATATTGTAAATGGTCTTTCAAGTTTATTGCTATTAGTCTAAGCCAGTGGTCGGCAAACTTATTAGCCCAAGAGCCAAATATGAACTTTACAACAATGTAATAACAAAGTGGGAGCCAAATTTGCTTGCAATGCAAAACATCGGCAGAAAGCTTACAACATTTGGACAAATAGAAGTTATTGAAAAATCGATGAAAAATTTTGTACCGGAACCACAAACATACATAGCATGTGTAATAAAATCGTATAAAAATACCTGTAAGATGACCAGCTGGATTGAAAAATAAAACTTTTTAATAAGACAGGACAACGGCAGACACGGTGGATAAGACATAACTGTTCACACTGCAAGTCTGTGATGCCAATTTGTACCCCCACTATTTTAAAAAAAGTATGCGCGCATGCTTGTGGTACCTTTGTATCACACCGGAGTACACCGAAAACATACGAACAATTTCAGCCGGTAACTTGTGCATGGTTTGCGTTTACGTTTACAAAAACTAATAAAATTAAACTCTATGTTCGTTACGTATTATCACAACAATATGAAATTCTAATTACCTATCTATCTATTAACTTAAACAAAAAATTATGCATGTTCTCGATTTATAAAAGAATTTTAACTTATCAAAATAAGATGTAATTTTTTTTCTTACCAAGTTTTTTTTTAAATGAAAATATTATTGCGCCTTCCGTGGATATTTGTGCCAGAGCCGCAATTAAGGAGCCAAAGAGCCACATGCGGCTCTGGAGCCGCACTTTGCCGACCACTGGTCTAAGCAAATAAAGATTATCTGAACTAACGTCACTTCACTCCTCTGTCTACTGAAAATTCATCAATGATCAATCAGTTACAAATAGCAATCAATAGGAATAATGTCAACAGCTGGTTGCCATTCAAAACTATAGCAATAGAATTATACTTGTCAAGTGATATAGTTCAGCCTTTGGCTTGAACATTCCGTCTGATTGAGTCATTCTTTTTCAAACATTTCCTATTTTGCTGAAAGGAATATTAGCTGATAGTAATTAGCTTAAAAAGCAAGAGCGAGATTAGATAAATACTTAAGAAATTTTTCAATTAGTCTGAAGCATTGCAAGAGTTGGATTTTTCAATTAGCCTACAACATAGAAACAGTGATACCTCCTGGAATGACCACTTTTATGTAGCTACCTCCTCTATTTATGACCAGTTTTGGAAGGCACAATATTTTATCCATAGACTTGGTGTTGAAGGAAATCTTTAGGAGAGACCTCTGCACCAAATGCGAAAAGGGTCAAATAAGGAAACACGAAAAATATATTCAAAATATTTGTGTGAGGCTCTTATTTAGAGAACTCTCTTAGACAATCTCTTCGAGAGATCTACAACCTCATGTTGCAGTCAGACTACACTAAAGACTATGCTATTATCAATGATTTAATTTTAGAGTTGAAAGTTAAATTCGAAAATAATTTATTTTAGAAAAAACGAAGCATCTCAAATAAACATATTTTAAGCTAATTTTTATGATATAAAGTGAAATGCAAACTAAAAAAGAAAAAACATAATTGTTTAGTTATTTAAAATAGTTATATGATTCATAGTTGTTAAATTTGTTTTACACATAATTATATCAGTAAAGGTTATTCCTATTGATGCTAAATTTTTATATATTTATCCGGTTTTCAAGACGCCAACACAAGTGGCATCCCCAAGAAAATGAAACTGACTAAAATTAAAATCATTTGAAAAAAAAAATCATGTACCTTCAATAACATTTTGAAATCAATGGAGCTAACCCCTAAGAATGACCAACCTCCATTAACGGCCATTTTACTGTGGTTGCAGACAGTGGTCGCTCCAGAGAGGTTTCACTGTACTACTATTTCGTGGAAAACAATTGACTACACTTTAAAAACAAACATTTAAAAAGTTATCACTCTATCAGAAAATCTCTAATTAAACAAGATTTTGGATCCATATGGAAAATCGATGAATAATTCACATTTTTTTTTCATACTTCCTAAAACAATATAGTGAAAATATTTAAAAAATTTAGATTAAATTTTACATTTAGAAATTTTTTAATATTGAAATTTTACACTATTTTCATTCGAACATTTCCTAGAAGTGGATAAAACTTAACAGTTAAAAGCTCACAATAAGCATTATTTCATCTAACAAAGAGAAAGTGAGGTACAACCTTGGAGAAGACAGTTAGAGAGAGCATTAGAATTGAGCTTAGAATCAATATATAATTTGCACAACCAAAAATTTATAAGACTTGAAAATTTCTTATCAAAAAAAAAAAACTTTTTTTGTTGAAACCAAATATTTACATTAAATAAACAATAATATTATTAGACTTTTCTAAAGTAGAAAATTTGATTTTCATTTAAGATATTAAAAATAATTTTTGATTGTACATATAATTTCAATCATTCAAATGAATTATTTAACCTCTTACATAGACCATATATAGAAATTTGAAGCAATAACCTGAGGTACAGCATACTCTATACCATTTCGACATGTAGTTGTGTTGTCGCTAAATGTTTAAAGCAATATATTTATAATTAAAATACATCTATTTCAAGTTTAAAATGATATTTTTTGTGATAAAAATACCCTTGCTATATTTTTTTATAAAAAATATTGTTAGATTATGTATAAAAATAATTTTAAATGCAACTACTTAAGTAAATAGATTCTAGGTAACTAAATACTTGTCTGATAGATAACTGAAAGCAAATAATTTTTCAATAAAGAGATGTTTTTTAAACAACAATAAACCTTTAATGTCTATCAAATTCACAAATGTTAATTTTTCTTTAAAAATATGAAATTAAAAAAAAATAAAATCATAATTTCACAGTCAATCATGAGTGGCCGAATGACAAGAATTTGAATTTGTCTGGCAATAAATAATTAATTCTCAAAAATGCTAGTGCTAATGATGCAGATGTGTAAATTGTGCTATTTTGTTTGACACAAATAAAAAGAAATATAAAAATATACATGTTTTTAATTCTTAGCCTATGAGGAAAATGATTATTAAATTTAGTTTTTTAGGGTTGAAATCATGTTATGCACAGTACAAACACTTTCAAATTACCAGATTTTTATTAATAATTATGAAAAATTGGACATAACAACTTTTTTTCTCTCTTTCTTAAATAATAATGTTAAAATGAAAATTAAAAAAGAAGTTGTGCTAAAAAAGTAATAATTCAAAATACATTATTCTTTGGACATTAAATATTATTAAATAACTTTGGTAACATCTTGTGACTGAGTTACAAACTTGCACCAGAAATTCTTAGTACTTTTCAGTGTTCTTAAAATATACAACCAATTATTAAACAAAATTAGAATATAATACTTTAGGGATTTAAAATCATAAGCACTGAAGTTATGATAAAAAGGACAAAAAAATTATTTAATTAAACTAATTACGTTAATAATCTTTCGGGAAGAATAATTTATGAAACCCCTTGACATACGAAGACATCTGGGAGACGTGCCATTTGTTTCTTATGTCAAAACAATAATTGACGTGTTACAGACGTCTTCAACACAGAGATGCCAACTTGTTCCAGACAGCGAATAAATATTTTAAAGTGGTAGTTTATCAATTGTGATTCTTGGTTTAGTAAATTCAATTTAGTAGATTTTTATTCACCACTATTTCTAAATAATTTGTAGGCTTATATAATTCACCACTTTATAGTAGTTATGTCATGCTATATCTGTAGTTATTTAGCGTTTTATTTTGGCGTATCCGGAGCAGTTGGCATCTCTTTCAACATTCCGTTGCGAGCTGTTGTTTACAGTACAATCAAAGTTCATTTCTAAATGAAGGGGTTAAGTATATGTATATACAAAACAAGTTCTTTCCAAGAATATAATATGAAAATTTTTTTATGGTATGGATAGAACATAGTATATTGAATGAACTGCTTTTATTAAAGATTTATTTATAAAAACTGGACACACTTGGTGTTGTTTTTTACTTCAAAAATGCCACCACTAATTATTTGTGTTTTTAGCATGGTCCTCATTCAAGATAATATTTTCTATTTTTATTTTTCAAAATATCAAATATGCTATAAACATATTTGTTCCCCCTATAAAAAATAAATGCTAAAAATTACCTCCTAACAATAAAAAAAAAAAAAAAATTACAATTATATCAAATAAAAGGCACTTGAGGAAGGATACTTGTATCAAAGTTAAAGCAAATTTCTAAATTCACATTATTGTCTAATTTCTGAGTACTTTAACTAGCACAATATTTTTTTTTGCACTTTATGAAACATATGTGAGTCAATCTCATTAAATTATAAATACAAAGAAAAATACTGCTGAAATAATATTCATTAAAACTATTTGACATTAAAATTTTGTAATACCCTTTCAAAAGGTACCAATCATACAATTAAAAGTACACTTCAGCTCGGAAATCAGAGCAATATTAAAAATAATTTAAAATTTACAATTACTAAAAGAGTTAAATCTATGGATGGAAATAAGCCTATAACATGATATAATGGAATGAGAATACAAGTGGTTTATCTACAGTTTTCTATGTTTAGCCTTATTATTTAACATTGGCTCTTTCAGTTTTATTAATATGCATTCTATTCATATGTTTAAACATCTACAAGCATTTCCTCTTCAATCCTGTCTTTTTTTAAAAAGGACTAACATTACTAATATGAATGTTATTTATCAAAAGCAGAATTATGAATTCAAATGTGATGCTTTAAGTAAGAATTTTGTAATCATGCTTATTAGAGAAATAATTATATTTCAGGTTTAAAAATAATGGGCAATGATTTTTTAAGTTTAAAGAATCTTTGAGTTTTAAGAGACCTTGTGTTTTTGCATAAGCCGTTTTTAATAAAACTTGATTGACCAGTATAAAGGAATGTACTAATTATGCAAAATGTTCGTTTAATTTTTAAAAAAAGGATAAAACAAAAAATATTGAGCGTTCGCAAAAGAACCTAACTAAAACAAAATAACTAAATTTTTAGTTAACTATTATAATAGTTTTTGAGAAACGCTTGTTTAAAAAATTTACACATAGTATTAAAGTAATGAAAAACAATCTGAAGTGATTATCTTGAGTTTAATATACAAGTCTTGAGTATAATAACAAGTGATTATCTTGAGATGTTTATCTGGTTAATTTTTCTACAAAAATTTTGAAAAATATATATTAAGGGGGATTTATCATGGCACAACTCTCATACAAAGCTCAAATTTGAGCTGTGGTCCAACTCAATGCTTAGAGGTAAAAATCTAAAGAGTGTATTTTTTGTTCTTTTCTTTTGTTAAGCAGCAGAAATAAGCTTGACATTTAATAGCTTTTGAAATAAGATTTTTTTAAAAAAACTTAGCATTAACATAAAAGTAGGGCTTAAACCCTTTTTTTAATATGTGGAGTTGGCCCACTACTGAAATAAAAGCTTCTCATGAAGTAGAAACAAATCATAAAGAAAAAAAAAATGGCGATAGCACACTTGCATTCTCACTCAATGAAAAACAATTATGTATACATTTACATTCACATAGCAAATGGCAGCTCATAAGATCTATTCTAAATATGTTTGACATATTATTTCTGCGATGATTGCTAAATCGAAATCACTTTGACTAGTATTTTTTGCAATACTTCATTCAATGGAATGGGAGAAAATATAGGAATGCGAAACTTAACTCAAAATACTTTTTGGATAAAAGCGCGAAATTACTTTTTCAGTATAACTCTTGCAGCTCTTATAAGCGGAGTCATCGAAGAGAGACTGCCAGCTTTCTGGAGGAATGGGTGTTTCAAAAGTTCGGCAGCCGAGGCTCGCTTCTCGACGTCCACTTCCAGGCACTTGTCTAAAAAGTCACTCAGTTCAGCAGACAGTTTTGCCCTGTCTTTCAGTTTGGGCTTTCCTGTGGTGGCAATAAGATATAAAGCTTTTAAGGGTGTTTCATTCAAATAGGGTGGCTCCCCGTCAATCATTTCAATCACCATGATACCAAGGCTCCAGATATCGATTTTATTCCCGTACTGCTTACGAGTCACGACTTCGGGAGCCATCCAGTAAGGCGTACCGACAACTGTCTGCCTCTTCTCCTCTGGCGTGATCTGAGCACAGAATCCGAAGTCGGTCACTTTCACAGTTCCGTCCATACCGAGTAGGACATTGTCACTTTTAATATCCCTGTGAATGATCCCTCTGGAATGAAGGAATGCGATCGCTTTCAGGGTTTCTCGACACACAGATGCAATCTGGCTTTCGTTCATGAGAACTTCCATGACGACATCTGTAAGAGGACCTCCCTCTAAATATTCCATGACGACCCACAATGATCCATCAACAAGGTAGCTTTCCACAAAGTTTACAAGATTAGGGTGTCTAAAGAAAAATAATAAAAACATAATCAGAAATAGAAAAAATAAATCAAAATTATTACCAGGATAGTCACAAACCCTCACTCAGAAAGAAAACAATTTCCTGACTTTTCTCTATTTTTTTTTCTTTTCAGAATGATTTTATTGAATTCTCCTGATTTTTGTAACTACCGCCATAAATTTCATTCTTAATTTTTCAGTTAGGCCATCATATTCTGATGGCTTCGTCTGTTGTTAAATTAACATTAATAACATGGTACAAAATGCAACAAATGCAGAGGTGCCACATATCTGACAAGCTCAAGCAAGAAGAAGAACATTAATAAAGTCTTTATAGAAAACAAAAGCAATATTTATTGATAATATAAGTACACTCGTAACTGACTACATTCACGTGCATTTCGTATCGACGTTCTACAAAATAATAATGCTTACATCACAAAATCGAAACTGAAAATAAAACATAACCGCTGTTGCCATTCTTCATTTTTACAATACATATGCACTTACGGTGGCCAAGGAGTTAACATGCGAACTAAATAATCGTTGTGGCCATTCGTAATTTACAATTGCGCTTACAATTCTTAAACATCAAATATATTACAAAACACCTTTATGTGCGATACAGTTGAAAATAATTTTTAAAAAATTGTTGCAAGGCCAATTTTTTAAGAAAAAATATTTGACATTTAGATACCTCAAATATAAATGTATTCATTTTTCCTGACTTATCGGCATTCCCAGACATTTCTCTGATTTTTCCAGATTGATAACGTTTCCTAACTTTTCCTGTTCTTCCCAATTTTTCTGCTTCGCGACTAATTAGGGTACAATTAGTTGAATTTATTTTAAGGCATATTATTTCAATTGTAAAATAAATAGGAAACATTTCAGGAAGATCAACATTAACATATTATTTATTCTAGTTAAATATATTTAATTCTTAAATAAATTAAAATGAATATAAAATATTTTATTAAAGCCCAGAGCCGTAAGGAATGGAGGGCTATCCCAAGACATGCTCGAGTCTTCAAAAGGACTGGACTGCTAAGCCAATAAGTAGTAGTAGTAACGCACATTTAATGGATTGCCCAAAATCAATTCTCTTTAGAACTTAACTGCCTTCTTTTAGTTAAGAAATTCAAAACTAATTAAGTTTGTATTGACGAATTAATGACCGATTTAAAAATTAGCGTTTCTATAAACTTCATATGTAACTCCAATTAAACAGTAATTCAGCTGAAACAGAAAGACAATGAAGGTGCTATTAAGTGTAGATCCTTTCAAAGTTAAAATTTTCAGAATATTTATTAGTGTTCATTGATAAATCTATATTACTCACACACATTGAAAATCAAGTACCTCACTTAAAACTGAAAGTATTTGTTAACTTTAAAAATATTTGAATTAGTTTAAATTCTGTTTATTTAAAAAAAAAATCCTACTTTTATAAAGTAACTAATTTTTTAGACCATTAGAATATAACAATTCCTCGACCTTTACAGAATTGACTTAGCCAATAATTGACAGGGTGCGTAGCCAGATTTGATAACAAAAAATAAGCATCTTTTAAGCACTCAAAAAATATTTTTAATCACTTTTTTAAAAAAAATCATAATTAGGATCCATGCAGTACTAAAATTTTTTTCTTCTTCTTCTGCCGTTTAAAGTTCTTAATTTCAAAAACATTTCAAAATGATTTTCAAAAACTTTACATAATCATGATAAAATAACTAGTTTCTGATAAATATTACACAAGAAATAGTGAAAATCATGCATTTTTTGTCATTTCAAATGACAATTGAAGCAACAAAGAAAAAATCTATTTTTAAAAGTTAGAAAATTAGGCACTTTTCACAAACCCTGAATAAAAAAAAGCACCTTTAAGGGCTTTTAAAAAACGTAAATAAAAAAAAGCACCTTTAAGTACTTTTTAAAAACGTTCACCCTGATTGACAATTATTGACTTACAGAAATAATTTAAATAATTTTAAATTTTCTTAATTTAATTTAATTTTTTTTAAAAATTTGGGTAAATCAAAATCTTGGATTTGAGCCAGTTTTCGGATTTACTTCAAATTTATTACAAATTCCCAGCACATTCAATAACTTAAGAGATATAATGAATTAACTGAATTCTAAGAAACTATATTAATTGTCACATGAAAACTTACTTATTTTGTTGCATGACTTTGATTTCAGTTATAATAAGATCTTTTTGAGGTTGTTGTCCAATATCCATTGTTTTAATGGCTACTTTTTCTCCAGACTCTTTATCAATTGCAGTATACACTAAACCTGATGCCCTGAAAGATACATTCATGTGTCTTTAATGTGCTATTTCATATACAGTAAAACTCCCGAACAAGGGTCACTTATGGGATTGTACTTATGTGGCAGGCATTAAGAGGTGGTCAGTATTCGAAATTATAAATGAATTGGTTATTCAAAAATACATTATTAGTTGTTCAAATTTATATTACATTGAGTAAAAAGTTTTCAGCCCCCCAAAAAATGATAAATTCATATTAAATCGGCAAAGTTAATGACAATAGTAATCTCCATTCAAATCAACAATAGTCCACTTGATCAATGATTTGCTTTAACTGGTCGCAATTATCTCAAAAGGGCGTCCAGAATGTGGTTCATAATGTTGAAATTCCCAGCTTTAAACTTTAGAAACCAAACTTTTACTGTATCATAAGAAACAGCATTGAAACCTAAACTTTCACACATTTTCTTGTAGCATTCAGTTGCACTGGGTTTATTTCGTAATTTATAGTACATAATCGTTTTGATTTGTTGACGTGATAGCTCCATTTTAAACACTTTTTTTGGTGCACAAGGTAATAAAGTTTTGACAAACAAATTACACACTTGTGTAGTTCCAATCTTTATTACTCATTGAATTTAAAATTGTCAAATTTTTAAATAATTTTATAAGTGTAATAGAGAAAATTTTCATCAGCGTAGCTATTTTATAGAATCCTCAGATAAATACAGTACACAACCCGTTATCTGAAAATCAGAAAACCGGAACGAAATTCGATAAATTTTCCCGCCATTTTAAAAAAATAAAATTTTTTTTTCCTCACAAGATTTTAGGATTTTTCCTTCTTTTTTGAAAGATGTTTACCTTACCATCATTTTGGAAATAATCATTAGTGTATTACTTCGTTTTTTCAAGATTATTTCCAAATATTTTTATTTTCAGTTGGGTTTAACAATAAAAAAAAACTGCTTTTTGTAGCGATTCAGAAAACCGGAAAAATCAGTTATCCGGAATAGCGATGGTCCCGATCGTTCCGGATACTCGGTTCCCTACTGTAATAAAAAATTAAAAACTCATAAAATAAGCTTTTTCAGGATTCATTGTTAGATTTTTTGCTTTCATAATCACAGTTCATATTTTATTACTTTCATTAAAATTTCACTGTAATTATAATTATCATACATAAATATTAGCACAGCTCTTACTTAATAAAACATTTAAATATAAAATTAGAAACAATTGCAGTTAATTTTTAAGAGCTTAAATTGAGTGAACAAATGACATACAAAAGGGAATTAAAATTTTTTTTAACAAATTAAACTTTTAATATAGACTTTTTCTTCAACAAATAGTCTATTTTGAATTATGAAATCCAAAATTTATCAAAAAATTTGATTGATCAATACAAATAACAATATTAAACAATTGGTAACTTATGAGGTAACTTGGATAGAATAAAATGTATTAACATACCCGGAACCAATTTTCTTGATCAAAGAATATTTTTGCTGGGGATCCCCAGGAGAAGTAATGCATTCTAAATTAGAAATAACAATAGTCATTCAACAATATCAGATAAAATTAGCATTTGCAACATTAATATATTTAAAACTTTCAAAAGTAACTCTTTATGAGGATTTAAACAATACTATACAATTGCAAAATAACAATAATATAATTTTCACACAGTGTGAGAAAGAATAATTGATAGAATAATATCAAAACAAAATTTTTGAATTGGCAAAACTATCTGCTTTTGATAGGAACGAAATAAAATAGAAAAAAAAAAAAATAGTGAGAATTTCTCACCCTTTCTCAAAAACAGGGTGAGATTTCAAAAAGTTAAGTGAGATTTCTAAAAACTAAAACAAAACACAAAAACTCTAGGAAAAAAAATCATTTCTTTAATTATAATACATTTTTAACGTCTTCTACTTTTTAAAGCATTGAATATTTTTGGTGCATCATCATAGAAGATTTTGCCTTTACAAGGTATTTGTCCACCTTACATTAGTGCGTAAAAAATTTGAACGTCTTACATGAAGAAACCTTACCTACGGTAAATACGTGGTTGCAGAGCAATGTGTTCTGAAAGGGGTTACGTGGTTGTGTTCTGTTGTTCGAAAAGGTTCTGAACAACACTGGTAAATAGGGAAGCTAGATAACGGGGCAGATGTTGAAAATAATGAAGGATCCAGGAAGAAAAGTGAAACGGATTTTATTCCAAATGGCGTAATTCGAAGCTTTTTCCAAAAATGCGAGAAATTTGAGAATTTTGAAATTGATTTATAGAATGCGAGAATTTCTCGCGGTAACCATTTTTTAGTGCAAGAAAAGAAAAAAATATGCCATATTCTCGCATTGAGGTGAAAACACTGGCTTAATACATAAATAATACAGATTCACATTAGCAATAAAATTCAAAATTTGTTTGAGATATCGATTGAAAATATCTTGAAAATTTTTTCATTCATTTATATGCTAACTTAAACGTATTAACATAAAAAAACAATTTTGATTGCTTATAAAAAAATAATTCAGTTTAAATCAGTACTGTTATCATTTTTGTCATTTTACAATTACTTTTGTTATATTGTGTCTTGGCCCATGACAATCTCAATATGACAAAGGGTAAAAAAAAATATATACATATAACGGGAGAAATTGAAAAATGCTCACTTAATTTATCTAAACTATTATTCACTAATTAAAAAAAAAAAACGTTTTAGTTTAAACCAGCAATGTTATAATTTTAGTGTCCTTATAATTGCTTTAGTTTCATTGTGTTCTTCTCTTGTCTCATGACAATTTCAATAGGGCAACAAAGAATAAGGAGAGAAAAAATGCATATAATGGGGAGAAATTGAAAAATACTCACTTAATTTATCCATGACTTCAGTATCAGAAAGTTTTTTTCTTCTCATAACAGGGGGTGGATATTGAGGGTCAGCAACGACTTTCAGTTTTTCAAGGTCTGTTGTCACTTTGTCAGAACAATCAATGTTATCATTTACCTAAAATTAGAATGGCATTAAAAATCACCATATAACTACAGTTAAAGCATCACTATTTTATCTGAAAAACATAGGTTGGCATATTGATCATTTAAAAAGAAAAAAAAAATATTTTTTTGATTTTTTTAATATTTACTAGCTAAATAATCTGGAAAAATATATTAACAGTACTTAATATTATTTAAAAACATTAATATAGTTAAATAGTAGATATTTATAACTAAAATGTTTCAAAATGTACAAACTAATTGCTGGATAAATAAAATAATGGTTATTTTTTTTTAAGCTAAACATTCAAAACTTTCAATTTATCAGTTAGATAATCAAAGAAGAGTAAATTATCAAATATCGAAGAAGAATTAGGAAGAGTTAGTTCATCAAATTGCATAAAAGAGAAAAACAAAAACATTGTAAGTTTCTTAGGGCAGAACAAGTCTCATCTTGAATATTGATAAACAAATCATGTATTTAATATGTTTTAAAAGCACTTAAAGTATTCAAATGATATAGTTGAAACATCTTTATTACTAGCTAATTATTTCACATACAGCTAATGGCAGTGTTTTCACTACAGCGCGAGAACGCGAGAATCTCGCATATTTTTTTCTTTTCTCGCATTAAGAAATGATTAACGCGAGAAGTTCGCGCACTGAATTTATCAATTTTAAAATGCACGAATCTCTTGAATTTTGGAAAAAATTTAGTCTTCCGCCATTTTGAAAAAGACATGAAAACAGCTACGACAAGTCTTGAGAAAAAAAGTGAGTTCCTTATAATAAGTTGTTTAAAGTATCTCTATTTTTCGCTGTTAATGAATTACCAAACTCCCTCATCGACAATTTAGAGCAATTTGTAAAAGTTTAAGTTTGTGAAAACTAATCTGGAAGACCTGACAAAGAGTATGAACATGGAAATAACTTCAACGAACTTCACTATTCCATAACAGAAATAAGTGAAGAACCTATGCTGGCAGATGTAGAGGATAGGAAAGTGTGTGCACAATGCTACAAATTTAATTAGTGATTCCGAATAGTACAGCATCTGTTGCAAGGTTATTTAGCCCCCAAACCGAATTAAAGCAAAATATCGTAACAGATCGATTGGTAAGCATTTGAGTAAACCTAATGAGAATAGCTAATGAAAAAGTAGATACAGAACGTTTTCCATATGATAATGCCGCAAAAATATCCAATGTTCAATGGTTTAGAAATTAGAAGATGTTAAAAATTTATTGTAATTAAAGAAGTATTTTTTTTCCAAGTCTATTCGCGTTTTTTTAATTTTTAGAAATCTCACTTAACTTTTTGAAATCTCACCCTGTTTTTGAGAAAGGGTGAGAAATTCTCTCCCATTTTTTTTCCGTAATGAAAACACTGAATGGATAATTATAATTGAACAGTTTCATTAGTCTTTAATTTTATTCATTTATTAATCAATTTAGAAATATAATAATTTGCTGTTTCTTAGGAGAAAACCTTCATTATCATTGGAATCAGACTTTAAAAAGAATCACATTCTAAAGAATATATTTATAAAAATATTTTCGACTCAATGATTTATTAAAAATAAGACCATTTGTTTAAATCAATGATTTTCTTTAAAAAAAATACCAGTTGATTTAAATCAATGATTTTTTTAAAAAAAAAAAATGATTCAAGTTGACTTAAATCATTATTTTCCTTTAAAAAAATTTCCAGTTGATTTAAATTAATGATTTTCTCTAAAAAAAAAAAAAAAAAAAAAAAAAAAAAAAAANAAAAAAAAAAAAAAAGAAGTAATTTAAATTATGCTAACCCTGATCAAAAGCATCAAATTGATGCATTATCCTAGCTCTAAACTATATATTTTACAGCATATTTTTATAAAGGTGAAAATTTCTTTTTCTTTGTCAGTAAACAAAAATTAAAATTATTTTTCGATTTTAATTAATTTCATCTAGGCAATANCCTGGGCAACATGGTGAAACCCTGTCTCTAAAAAAAAAAAAAAAAAAAAAAAGATTATTGTTGCTTTAACAAAATTTTAAATTTTTAAATATATAAGTGTTTATTTATTAGTAAGTCTTGTCAATTTTTTCAAACCATACAACTTATAACAAATTTAATGCTTAATTTCGTGTTTAAAAGTATCAAAACATTTTTATTTTTATAGTGAGAGAGCTTCGAAAGACAATTAAATGTTAAATAGTTATTTTTAAGTGAAAAAAAAAACTCAATCTAACATTGTTGCGGTTTGCATTACCTCAGTAGTATCAGCAAGAATATCTTCGTCAGATTCAGATGCGTTTCCTCTGTCAAGTTCAGTCACAGAAACAGTGCCATCAGGAGCTGATAATAAATGTATAATAATTAAATAAAATAGATATCTTACATATAAAAAATAATAATAATTGAATAACTAAAAAACATTACATTAATTCTCCATGCTAAAAAATTGACTAGATTTCTCTGAACTTTAATCCTTCAAGCATTGAGCCCGCGGATTGAATTACACAGAAATTTTCATGCTATGGACTATTTTCACATTTATTAACATAAAGAAACTGTTTTTTTTCTTTTTTTTTTCATTTACGCAGGAAAGCCCATATCAAAAAGTTTGGAAAAAGCCAAGACTAACACTCAGAGCTACAGTAATCAATGTCTTCTCATGTTATTCAGTAAGTGCATATCAAGAAAAATTCCTTGCAAATTTCTAAAAACTAACTAAGATAATTCACAACATAGAATTTCATTACTTCAGAAAAATATTTCACAAAAAGGAGAAAAAATTATATTAGTATACATATGATTTGAGAGGTAGAAGATCTTAAATATGCTAATAAATTAATAAAAGAAGATGGTAATTTTTGTTTTAAAACGGACCATAAAATATGATCCTCAAAGTATAAAGAGTACAACCAGAAAAAAAAATATAGTTCCTGAAGTTAGATAGCAGAGCAATTAAAAGTTATAACTTAATAATGGTAAATTTCTGTTTGTATATTTCCCTGGGGTTCTTTAAGCAAAGAAAAAAATATTTACAATTATAAAACTAGTTCAGGCAAAAATAATTTCCTAAAACTGTTTTAAAGTAACATCCTGAATTTTTTTAAACATATGTAAGCTTTCGCAAACATTTTACAACGTACTTTTAAATAACTAATTCCAAATTTGTAGTAAAATCTCTCAAAATTCTATCTGAGCAACAGCACTTTAAACTGCATGAATTAACCGAACGGATTTAAATTATCTTTTCAATTGTGCAAGAAAGTACATCCAAAATGCAAAAAATAAGAAATTGATGCGAAAGGATTCAAATATAAGACCACTCTAGTTTTTATGTAAATGTAACAAATTTGATTCCATAAAGAATTATGCATATTCAGGTAAAGAATGTCAAATTATGTGACTTAATTCATAGACAACACTATATATTAACAAACTTAAACAAGACATTTTAAACTATTACGATATAAAAATCTGCATTTCTGAAAATCTGATAAAAATTTATCCAGTGTTTCTTTCTAGATTTTTTTTTCATACTCAATTTGCCAGAAATTCAATTGCTTATGTTAACAGTCAAAATATTTGTCATTCAAACAAGTTGATCAATCAAATAAGTAGACATTAAAAATATATATGTCATAGTTTTTAATTTTTGTTTACTCTCTCATCAAAGTAAATCGATAAATACAAAAGAGCGTACTAAATAACCCGTCTGAAAATATGAGAGTTTGATTAAGTCAAATGTTTTAAAAAGATTTTTTTATTCATATCTAAGAGATTTATACCTCAAAATAGAATGGACATAATATTTAAGCACTTGCAAAACCCTTGTTCCAATTATATATAGATATAGAATTTAATACTAGCAATATAATTTTTTTTAAATAAATTAAATAATTATAATGAGAAACAGTTTACCCTAAGAAAAGATCCATTCATAAAATAATTATATAATGCATGGGTTTTCAAATTTTCAAACACGTAACCCACGCTTTAGACGTTTAATCAATTGCAACCCACTTAATAATTGGTGCATTGAGTTTATTTCTGATTGGAACAACACAAAATCTACACAGAAAAGAATTATAATTTAAGAGATATTAAGGAATCTTTGAATTATTATTAATGAATTAAAGTCTTAGTATGATTACTTATCATATGACACATGTGTTATTTAAAAACTATTATTAAATTATAGAAATCAAATATTACAATAAAATATTTCTTTATCAGTAAGACGTGTCATAGATAGATTATCATAGATTAGATTATCAGTATGATTAACATAGGACACACGTTATTTAAAAACAAAGTAATTAATTAATAAAAAAAAACAGCAAAAATGTAGCCATCAGTAAGACTTATCATAGATTAGAGCAAAGTAAATTAATAAAAACAAAATATTACAAGAATGTAGCTATCAGTAAGACCTATCATAGATTAGAGAATCAGCAAGATTATTATGATTCATGCATTATTCAAAAACTAAGCTATTAATTAACAGAAATGAAATGCCTATCACAAGTATGTCTGCATCAGTAAGCCAAGAGTGTCTTCAATTACACCCCATGATATTTATTTGTATAACTATTTATTTGTATGGACAAACAAAACATTTCAATATGATATGATGTAATAATTATATGACCTAGTTTGATTAATTGCTAAATTCTTATTCAACATTAAATCTTAATAGACAATTTTTTACGTAGTTTTAAAAAGATATAAAAATGTATAGGTACATAGTTTTATAAGAACTATGTGAAATTACCTGTTTCTTCAATTTCTAGGGATTCTTCATCAGCTGTTTTAGTAGTAGTCATAAACTTCACTTCACATGGCTTTTTTTTAATGGAATGGACATAGTACTTAAGAGCTTGTAAAACAGCAGCAGGATTTTGACTCTGTTCAGTTTTACTGAAATGAAAAAGGAAATATGCAATCAGTGATTCTGCTGGATTTTTTAAGTTTACAAGCCCTCAGGACTTTTAAATTTTTGATTCCTTCCTTATCAAATGTAGGTCCTCACTAAAAATTGGTCCTTATTAAAATTATAATCCATGATGAGTAAATATTTCAGGTTTTTAAATTTTCAAATGTATTGCTTTTAATCAAGATAAAAGTTCAAAACCTAAATCATCGTAAATTACAAAATTATAAGTGAAATAAAATGAATTTGCATTTTAAGCGCTAATTTAAAAATTACAACATAGAAAAAAAAGGGGGAGTTTCCAAGATTTTAAGAAAAAAGGTACAAATGTTTTGTGATATTTAGCAGAGGATGACAAATTTTCTGCCTCTAAGTAACGTTATAATTATATGAAGAACTATTAAATTAAATTAATTACCACTGAATTAACAAATGACATACTAAACTTAGAACTAATAAATAAATAAAGTTTTGTTCTTTTATAAAAAAGTAAACATGATAAATTTTAAACTTTCTGTTACTACTAAATTTAAAATTTGTTTAAATTTGAGTTACTCTTATAATATTAATTGTTAAACAAATGTATTGGTCTTTTTTAGTTTCTTTAGTTCTGCTTTTTTCTAGTTCCACTCTTTGTCCGGATGAAATGCCAACATTGTTTAAGATAGATATTAATGTGGCAAACTATTTCTACCATAACATTTAAAAATTGCAGATTTATGTTTATTTGAGATTCCAATTCGCAATTAAATACTAAGTTGCATAAAAATGTAAGAAAATGTCACCTTTTTTCATTTTGCTACATTCAAACTGATAGAATTCATATAAATAAAAAATTTAATGACATAAAATATTTAAAAAAAAAATCAAGCTTGGTTTTTTGCCTTAAAAAAAAAGTTGGGTTGAAACCATGGTTTAAATCAGCCAACCCTGGTCCCACCTACAATTTTTGGCGTATTTGACATGTTATGCAATTATGAAAATGCTTAGAAATGAGGTTGTTTAGGAAAACAATTTTAAAATATATCATAGGTCTTTATAACACTAACTGTGAAATATGAGTTTTTACAATGTATAGAATTTTGAATTAAATAAATCATTCAGCATATACGTATAAACATGGGAATCACATGTGTAGAATCACGATATTGGATTTTAAAATCATGTGAATAGGAATCGCGATTTTATATGAATCATGCCGGATTAATATGAATCACGATATTTGATAAAAATAGGATGCATACAGCCCCCGTGACCCTCTTCGTTTCTGTGAAATTTAACATACCAACGGGGCAAACAAAATTTATTTCCCAGGTAAAAATCTACTTCTTATTTTAAATTGTAATTCAATACTTTTGTTTTGTACAACTGGATAAAAATCTGACAGTAATATTTAATGTTCCAACAAACATAAAAGAGTCCTATATAAAATTTTGATAAAGTTGCGGCTCGCCATTTGACTGGTGTTTTGAATAGCCGCATGGGTGCAAGTTCGAAAAANTTCAGGTAAAAATCTACTTCTTATTTTAAATTGTAATTCAATACTTTTGTTTTGTACAACTGGATAAAAATCTGACAGTAATATTTAATGTTCCTTCAAACATAAAAGAGTCCTATATAAAATTTTGATAAAGTTGTGGCTCGCCATTTGACTGGTGTCTTGAATAGCCGCATGGGTGCAAGTTGGAAAAAAGGCCAAGACTGAAATTTTTTTGATTGAAATACCTAACATACACAATACCCCCTCGGCATATGCAAACTATCTAAGAAAGCTTAACCGTAATACATCAAGTTTAAATACTGTACAAAAAATATTTATTCATCTGTGTTTTGATAAAATAACAACAGGACATAAGAAAGTAGACCAACAACGCAGACCTAAAAAATATTTTTAAGGACAGAAGAAAAAAAAATCCGATTTCAGTCTTCGAGCCAGTCTTGTTTCCGTTTAACTTCCGTCCGCGGACATTTTCGAAAGACGGAAATCCGTCCTGGAGACGGAAGACTTGCACCCATGAATAGCGGCCCTCAGCCTCATGTAAGTTTGAAACCCTTGTTCTATCCAACGTGTGAGACACTCGTGTTGTGCATGACCTTGGGGTCAGAGATGGGTCACATGATGGGGTCAAAGCCTGCTACTGACTAATGAAGAAAATAAGGTGTAAAATGATAAAATAAAAAACGACCCTGTAAAAAGGATGGGGCAGACTTTTTGTTCAAATACCAATACAGCAATAACCCGTTCTGATTATTTCTTTTCAGTGAATGGAATTTTAAATTCAGTTAATTTTTAAAATTGTGAGTTCGACAAAATGGAAAATTTAAAAAAATACATTAAAAAAATTAGGGATTAGTAGTCTGACTTGTTGCAGAAAACATGGTTTAACAATTTTTCTAGTCATTAGACTTATATATTATTGAACTTTGTAACTACTAATTATGAAAACTGGTGAGAAAAAAGTTCTTGTTTTTTATAGACAGAGATTGTTATGTTTCACCTTTTCCTAATTTTCTTTCATTGAGATTTCAAAACTTTATTCATCTTAGGAAAGCCCTTTTCATAAAAAATTTTGATAACGGATAGTTTTATTTTGGGAAAAAAAATTCTTCATCTAGAAAAACTAAAGATCTCCACTAAAAATAAGTAAAAGTGATTGAAAAAATAAACTAACTAAAGTGAATTAATAAATAATGAAATCTTCAGGTGAATACACAAAATTATGCATAAAATTTTATCAATAAAAAAATTGGATGGAAGCCATTTTAAGAATGTGGTCATTTAAATCTGCTGTGTAATAATGCATTTGGAAGTAAACTTTGTAGGAATTAATGAAAAATCTACCTAATATTTGCATGCTGTAAAAGACGAAGCCACGGCTCAGGCAAACCTTCAACTTCTCCTGTATTTTCATTAAATTTCACATGAATGTTATGTTTGACAGAAAAAGGTATTCCAATTTCTGAAGGTGCTTGTTCTTTTTTGCCTGATTTCTTTGAAGAACGTAATTTGGTAAATAAACTGCTCATGTTGAGATTTTCAGATGGAATGCTCCTAGAGAAAAAAAATAAAATGTTAGAAAAATAACTCTTTTTAAAAACCTTTTGACAAGATTATTATTTTGAAATTTAGATAATATTCTATTCATAAATGCTTTTCTAAGGTTTACTGAAGTTATTGCATATAGAAGAAACTATCTGAATTTTTTTTCTCAATGTGTTTTTTTTTTCTTCAAACATTTAATTTTTCTTCTTCTTGTACATGGGAGGTGAACAAATTTGCTTCATTTTAAGCACTAAAGTATCATTTATAAAGTATAAAGAGTATATAATATTTATTTTCTAATCAACATTTAAAAAGTACATATATATATATTGAAAGCAATTATATCTATCTCTTTTTTCTTGCACTTTGCAAATCATCATTACATTAAAAAAAAAGAATTTAAAAACTGCGAAATCTATCATAATAACTGAAAAAAGATTGATGACAAAACCACATGTATCTACAACGGAATCTTTCGAATCGGAGGAGGCTTACTTAAACCAGCATACTTCAACAGCCTATTGGAAGCTATAAATAACATTGTATTTAATTTTGTTATTACTTTCTACTATGGTTCAAAACTCACTATGTTTAAAAAAATGTTACATTATAATAAATTGTCTTTTAAATGTTTTTTGAATCTTTATTTTTGGTAATAGAATCTACAACCGGACTTTAGCTTCAGATATTATTACTCATTATCGCATTACATATAATTTTATTACTTATTAATCACATGTTTTTCATCTAATAACACATTTTCAGTCATGTTATATTCTTTGATACTGAAGAAAAAATAACCATAATAAATTCGAAATAATCAAAAAAAATTTCAACCAATTTATTTGGCCAACTTATTACATTAATTATGACATAGATAATTGCTCGATATTCTTGACTAAAACTAACTAGCAGAAGAAAATATGAGTCAGCCATAACATAGGTGGTACCTACAAATCCAAGTTAACAATAAAATGTTAGGAGACAAAGTGATTACTCAAGTTCATTTCTTATTAAAAAAACAATTCATGTAATCTCCATGTATAATGGAGTAAAAAAAAATTTTTTTTTTATTGTTTACCTTAAAAGTTATCAGAAAGTTAACATTAAAATAAACCGGAAATTACGTACCTTCGTAGGTAAAATGTTTTATTATTCAAGAAAAATTATTAATTTTATAAGCTAGGATATTACATTTTATTACTTTTGTGTTTACCTATGTACATATCTATAAAAACTCATAAACGAAATATTTCATTAAAATTAATAAAAATAACTTCCGGAAACAAAAATCGAAACGGAAGTATGGGTTTGGGTTGAGAAGCTTCCAGATTGCCAGATTTGTTTTTCTTGATTCTATCATGCAAAATATTGTTGCTTGTAACTTGTATTGATTTATGACTCAGTAAGCACAACTTATACAGGGAAGAAATAGACAGTCAGAAACACTTTCTTTGATAATAATAAATGTTTATTTAAAATGAGTTCCTTTATTTACAAATAAACGCAATTTCTTAATTTTGTTACGAAGGAAATTTTTGTATGAAAGAAATGGATGTATTAGCAACTGTTGAGCCATTGTTCGCATCTGTTGTACATTATTCTTTCGTTTCGTTTGTCTTGATTCTGGCAATATTAATATTTACTTTATATACAGCTGCTTGTAAGTTAAAAAATAATTCTTTCTATTTAAAAATACAATTATGCATTATAGTTTTGTAAAAATATTCTTTGTGCTTCAATTATGGTGTTATTTCATTTTTAAATGAACTCATTGCCATTTTTTTATACTGCTAGAAAATTATCCATTAAAATTTTTTTTAGATGAATCAAATATTTCTTTCCATTTATAGAATTATGTAATGTTTATGTGCCTACTATTATTAATCAACATATGCTTTGATGTGAAATATGTTGTAGCTAGTACAAGATGTTCTGTTTAAAGTGCCTTTTTTTACCTAGTTATCTTTAGAACTATATTCTGAATTTTGTTCCTGTCTAACGAAAGATGAAAAACTATGTTTCTAACAAATTTTATTAGGTGAACACCAACACTAGACTAGTATTTACACTGTTGTTGTTGTTGTCAACAACATTTACACTAAAATTATTTTAGCGTAGTTTTTATGATTAAAATTAAATAACCTTTGTCTACAAAATGAATTTTAAAATGTTTTTTCTAAGTGCTCTTGTTAGCTTTTATTTCTTGAAATTTTGTTATTCTACATTTCATACTTGTGTAAATTGAATATTTAAAACAGAATATTAGGATGAGTTTTCTACTTTAAAAAAAATATAACTTAATTTAAATAGTCTGTAAAAAAGAGTATACAATTGAATAACTATAAAATAGCTAAAATAATGCTTAGAATAAACATTCTCTGAATCATTTTTATGTTCCAACCTTCCATAATATTTTTAGTGGAACTATGTATGTTCTAGGTTTCGCAAAAGATCTAAATAATTTCTTATTAATATTTCTTATTTAATAATTATTCCAAATAATTATTAAATTAAAGATCAAACTTCGTAAAATAATTGTAATTAATCTCTCTTTTTTATTTTTATTTTATAACCGTTGTTGAACAACCAACCCAATTTTTTGGATTTACCACTGCTAATGTTCTACTCAAACAAAGCCTTGTAATTTTGATCACTATCCAGAATACAAGGGAACATCCTGGATCAAATATCAGGAGAAATTTGCCTTCTTGGAGGATGGAACTAATTCTCATTTGCCTTTCATGGAGAGGAAAACTGCAAAAACCTCTCACAGTTAGCCTGACAGCAAGTAAACTCTAACCAATGATCCGTCTACCGCTGAGAATATTTTACCTCAGCACTGTGGTCGGTGCAAGCAAAATTCATATCGACCAGTCATTGTTGGATTCGAACCTGGTACACCTCATTGGAAGGCAAATTCTCTATCCTGTGAGCCATCACGGCTCACTCTATTTTAGGGAAATAAATTTTTGTAAATTTAAAGAATTACTTAGCAGTGCTAAAATACAAATTATTGAAATAAAAATGGCATATTTTAACTGAGCCATGTGATTATTTCATAAGATTTGCTGTACTTGTGGTGCAACTGACCAATACACTCATTTATCAAAACTTTGTAGGTATCATGTCCTTAATAAATATGTTGCTTAATAATTTCATATCAAGTAATGCATAAAAATTATGCCTGTAATTTTTCTACAATTGAATACAAAGTATATGCGTGAGTGTATAAATTTAACAAACCTTAAATTAAACAAACACTGTATATCGTTTTTTAAAGTGTTCTTTAAATTTGTTTTCAGGCTGGCTGATAATGTATCATGCTATTTTAATTGATGTTAAGTTCATGAACGATCTTATTTATGGGGAAGAGAGCGACAACCGAAGAAAAGACAAGAAAAAAAAATAATTAATTTTGTAAGTCATTTTTATATGCTTTCAGTCATTAATTTTATGATGGTTGACCCCGTGGCGACATTGTCGCAGAACGCTAAAGTTCTTGCAATAAGATTTTTCCTTTTGGAAATAAATTATTTTACTTTTCTTTTCAGCTGAAATTTTCAAAAGATTTTATCTTTTCTTCAGAATTATATTCAAAGATGCCTTTCTCGCGCATCAGAGTGGGAAAAAAATGCTTGATTTTTCTATTTTCATTTGAGAATAATGGAAAAAAATAATAATAATGAAGTAAAAAAATTTGGTTTTCTCTTCTGTAGAAATTTTCGTTTGATTTTTTTATACTGTTATTACTATTGATTTCCACATAGCTTTTAAAATCTGATATTTTAAATGCGATATTTTTATTACTATCAGCAACGATATTTTTAATCCGTTACAGCAACTGAATTCCGAAATGAAAACACGCATTTTAGTAACCCCTTTTTGAAGACTCCGATTCACGTGATTTCGTCATTGAACTTTTTTACAGATTTCGAGATTTTATTATTATTTTTTTTAATGTGATGATAAATTACAAAACGTGAAAAAGAAAGTGTTATCTCCCTACAAAATGCGAGAATATCGCCCATAATATTGAAAAAAAATTACGTATTCAATTAAAAAAATCATTTTATTTGATCCGAATTTTTTTTTTAACGTTGACGCTTCTGTTACTTTAAATTAGTAACATGTATATTTGTTATCTTTATAAGTATCTTGCAGAAAGATAGTATTAGAGAGGTATATCGCAGAAAGTCTGAAAAAATTCTGCCATAGGGATGGTTAACTTTTCTCATTAACTGACTCATAACTATCCACCTTTGATTATTTGTATATTGTTGAAAGTAGAAAAAAAAATTCACAAACTCCATCATCTTTTTCTCTTTACGTTTTCTCTCTGATTAATTCTTACAAATTGTTGGAAAATAATCAGAAGTTTTTTTTTTCTGGATTTTATTGCTAAATAATTGATTGTAAAAGAAAAAAAAAAAATTTTTTTTTCTCTCCTTTGTTTTGCAAAACCCAACTCAGAGTTCATGTGTACTATGGCAGAATCCCTTCATCACAGCAGATTCATCCAAGCTTCTTATTTATTTAAAATAAAATAATTTAATGGGGAATGATTGCTGAAACTCCTTTTTAACAGAGTTCTCTCCCTGACTTTTCCAGGTGAAATTTCAATGAGAGCATATTTTTATCAGAAAACTTTGATTCTTTTATTTGTAATGTGAAATATTAGATTTTCTGTGTTAAGAAAATATCATTAAATGAGGAGGGGAATATTTCAGTTTGACTAAAATGTGAAATTTTTACGACAGATAATTGTACTAGATGTTAAAATTATTTAACTGGAATCTCAATAACTGATTACTGTTATGGACAATTTTAAAACTGGTTATTTTCCAGGTATAATATAGGAGTATTCCAGGTTTTTGTAAAAAAAAATTGCAGCTTTCCCTGACTTTTAGAGCTAATATTAAATTACCTGACAATTCCAGGTTCTCCCTGACCTGTGGGAACCCTGTTTTAAAACATTTCTAAACTTAATTTTAAAAAATATTAAAAATTTGACTTGAAAGAACACTCTTAATTACAGGCTTATCTGTATATAGTGATTTATTTTACTTTTTAGAAAATCATAGTATAAAATTCAATTTAAATAAAAAATTATCTATGTATAAATTATAAGTGATAACAATACTACTATGGAAATACAAAGAAGAATTACTATAGCCAATAAATGTTTTAATGGAATTTGAAAATACATGAAATCTAATGTAATTGATAGAAAAACAAAAGTTTTATTATATAATTTTTTTTAAAGATCAATTTTAACATATGCTTGTGAAACCTGGACCATATCTTGTACGNAAATGTGAAAATTTTACAACAAATAATTGTAATAGATGTTAGAATTATTTAATCTCAATAACTGATTACTGTTATGGACAATTTTAAAACTGGTTATTTTCCAGGTATGATGTAGGAATATTCCAGGTTTTTGTGAAAAAAATTGCAGCTTTCCCTGACTTTTAGAGTAAAAATAAAATTTCCTGACAATTCTAAGTTTTCCCTGTTCTCCCTGACCTGTGGGAACACTGTTTTCTAAATTTATTTTTAAAGAATATTAAAAATCTGAATTGAAGGAACACTCCAGAATTACTTAATTACAGGCTTAACTGTATATAGTGATTTATTTCACTTTTTAAGAATCATAGTATAAAATTCAATTTAAATAACAAATTATCTATGTATAAATTATAAGTGATAACAATACTACTATGGAAATACAAAGAAGAATTACTATAGCCAATAAATAATTTAATGGAATTTGAAAATACATGAAATCTAATGTAATTGATGGAAAAACGAAAGTTTTATTATATAAGTCTCTTTTAAGATCAATTTTAACATATGCTTGTGAAACCTGGACCATTTCTTGTACGGATGAGGCTACGTTGGGTACCTTTGAGAGAAAGGTCTTGAGAAGGATTCTTGGAGGAATTAAAAAAAAATGTGTGTGGCTTAGAAGATCAAATCTATAGCTTTAACAGACTTTAAATGAACCTGACATTATTAACTTTATTAAATGACAAGGAATAAAATGGGCAGGTCACATTATCAGAATGAACAAAGACCATGCCACAAAAAGGTGTTTTCAATGCCAGACCAGTTGGCACACGAAAAAGAGGCAGGCCGACTTTGAGATAGATAGATGGCCTAAAATAAGACCTTTTGGTCTTAAAAACTAAAAATTGGAAAGCACTAGCAAAAAAAAGGTTAGCCTGGAAAAAACTTCTTGAGAAGGTCAAGGCCCACCCTGGGCTGTCGATCCATTGATGATGGTGATAAATTATAAGGGTTGCAAAAGAAGAAAAAACTGACTGGCTTTTATTGCAGTATTGCTTTAACTGAGTCAGTTTTTCTGGCTTTTTAATATTTTAAACATTCAAAATTTTGTTGAAATATGTATTTAAATTTATATTTTGGTGCCTTTTCAGCAAAACAGCATAAATAAAATATATTGTATTGTTGAGGTTACATATAAATTCGGATTTATGAAGATACTGCTGCAGATTTGCTATCCTGTTTATGTGTAGTGTTTGACACTTCTTGATCACACTAAAAGAAATCCACATTACATGTTGTTCTTTTATATTTCATGATATCACAAATAGGAAAGAAATTATTGTATTCATTCACTATTCATTCGTTGAAAATGCCTTAACACATGTTGAATTAGCTTTCTAAGTTTGTAATATCAAGCTTATTTTGTTTATTTCTCTTATTATTATTATTTTGAACCTTAAAAAAAAAGGAAGAAAAAGTCACTCATGTCACACTTTTATTATTGTTCTTGGTCCATTCTAAAGTGCATCTTTCATCAAAGTCATTTTTTTAGATGCACTTACACTTGTTTTATAATTGTTGACACTGATTAAGCTTTTAAAAAATGTATTCTCTTTTTCCAGGTATAGAATATGACTAATGCTGAACAGATGTCTCTATATGATCTGAAATTATAAAGAAATTACAAAAGAAATTTCCTTCTTGTATGTACATTGACTTAAAGAAGCATATTGTCTCATACTGCCTTTTTTTTACATTTTAAATGTCTTAAAAATGTATTTTCTTCATAAGCTTCATAAAGAAAATCTTGCGTATTATATATAGTTCATGTGTATTATTTGAATAAATAAAAAATTTATGTACTGTTTTAATTATTTATTGAATGCAGCACATTTAATCTTAAAATGTTCTTTACTTTTTTTTCTTCATATTTCTTAAAATGTTCTTTACTTTTTTTTCTTCATATTATAATGCGCATGAGGTTAAAAAAAAATGGCTAACAATATGAGGTAGAAATAAAAATATTTCCCTATCCTAGTCTCAGAGAAGGCAGTTATTGTCGTGAATCAGATTTTGTTCCCAGGGAGAAACTTTTCTGCTTCAGTGGCGTGTGGAGGTGGCATGCAATTGACAGTTAAGGAATCTGTTGCTAGGAAATTCAAACTATACATACATACAGGGGTTGGACAAAATAATAAAAACACTTCTATACTAACAAGTTTTTTTCGTATCTCTTAAGAAATACTCAAAGAATAATTTTATCAGCTTCCAAAGTGTTTAGATTGTGCAATTTCTCATACGTATCAGTAAAGTTTGAAGCTTTTAGAGGCTTGAGGGACCAACAGTAAAGCAAACCAAAAAAAATAGTGTTTTCGAATACCCTTTGCCAAAAAATGTAGCAATAAACATCATATAACAATTATTTTAATTATTACATGCAATAATTGCAAAAAATTTCGTAAACTAAGCTTAAATATTTAGGGAGAAATGGCCACTTTTATAAAAAAAATTTCGTCTCATGTGTTTTAGCGGTAACTTTAAAAATATTTAATAAAATTAAGCAAAATTTTTTGAGCTGTTTAAAATTAATTATAAAATTATTGCTATAAAATTTGTTTAAAACTGTGCGAGGTACGAGTAATTAAAGTGGTTCTTTAGTACCGTGCATGCGCTGTAAAAATTTTAATTTGTTTTTGCTTAATTTTGTAGAGAATCATATTTGTATGTAACTAATAAAAAAAAAATCTGAAATTGAATATCTTAAGAATGTAAAATGATTCAAGTAATTTTATAAGTGGTTTTTGTACTTTTCAAAAGAAAACTCAAATGATAAGGGGTTTTACACAATTTCTTTCCCAACAAGATCCCTTATAAATGATCTCGGCATCTTTGGGGATCACCCCCCCTCACCATAAAAGTTTCTTTTCTTTTGTCTATTTTCTTTCCTTATACAATCATATTTCGGTGTATTGAACGTTTATTGTAAGGTATTATCATTTGTTAATTAATTGTCCTATGATACAAAATAATATTTGTGGAAAATTCCTTATCATTTTTAGCTTTCTTTTAAAAAGTACAAAAATGACTTAGAGAATTCTTTGAAACCTTTTAAGATATTCAAATTTGAATTTTTTTATTTGTTGCTAATTAGGATTTGCCACAAATTAAAAAAAAAAAAAACTTTTTTTCCTTGCTCACTCAATATAAAAGAACGACTTTAATTTCTTATATACTGCACAGTTTTCAACGAATTTTTTTCAAATTTTAAAGCAAAAATTTTGTAATTGATTTTAAATTGCTTTAAATTTAGTTTTAATTTTATTGAATATTTTTTAAGTTACAGGAAAAAAACGTAAGACAAAAAATTAGTTTTGCGAAAATGTCCTTATTTTATTGTTAGAAGAGTTTTCCCCTGTGCTGTGACACAGCTTGGAGGAAGTGGGTTTTTCATTGCCTGCTCTTGTCAGTTATGTTCTGCCCTTTGCAGAGTGATGTATAGTTTGTTAAGTGTAGTTTTTGTCTTCGTGTTTTATGGTTTTATCTTTTCAATAAACTTAGTCTTTAAAATAGTTGTGTACAGAACCCGTTATCCGGAAATCAAAAAACCGGAACGAAATTCGATTAGTTTTCCCGCCATTTAAAAAAAAAAATTTTTTTTCCTCATGAGATTTTAGGATTTTTCGTTCTTTTTTGAAAGATTGACTTTGAAAGATTGACCTTACCATCATTTTAGTAATAATCATTAGTGTATTACTTCATCGTTTTTTCTTCTTTTTTTTTTTTTAGTTTGGCTTAACAATAATAAAATGGCTTTTTGTAGCGATTCAGAAAACCGGAAAAATCAGTTATCCGGAATAGCGATTGTCCCGATCGTTCCGGATAATCGGTTCCCTACTGTATAACCTTTCTGTGAATTGAATGCTTTATTTTAAAAGATGTCTGCAACTTAATAGGTTGCTTTTCTTTTTAGAAGACATCTACATAAATATTTAAGCTAGGCTTACGAAATGTTGTGCAGTTATTGCATAAAACCAAAATAATTTTTACAAGTTACAAATTTTTTGACATTAAATGTTCGAAAACGCTATTTTCCGTTTGTAACTTATTGTCGGTCCCTCAAAATCTTAAAACTTCATTGATAAGCAGTAAAAATCACACGATGTCCTCTGAAATTTTTAAATTATTCTTTTAGTATTTCTTGGGAACTATAAAAAAATGTATCAGTATAGAAGAGTTTCCATTATTTTGTTCACCTCTTTGTACATGCTAAACTTAGAAGGCATTGACATTTTAATTTTTAACTGTAGTCAGCAGTTAAAGTTAATACATACATGAACATTGATATTAGGATAGAACTTCATATGGTTGCTAGATTGACCTTAGAAAGTGTCAGATTTTTCTAGACATTATTAATAGGCCTTAGTAACGTGACTCTTAACCTTTTCTAAGTTAATTTAATCATTATTAAAGCAGTCTTTGTGGAATAGATTTTAACTGATTGCACGGTTAATATAGGTAATAAACACGGTAAATAGGCACGGTAATAAATTCCTTTTTTATAGATTTGAACATATTATTCTTTTTAATATATGTACACAATAGGCTTCAGATTATTCGGCTTACGTACTTTTCAAAAACTTGGTATTATTCCGCTACCTGGCAGTATAGAAACAGAGCATTCGCAAGATTCATGGCTTGTGGTGTAGGCAAGAAAGGGGAATGTAATGAATGTGATTATCTATATTGATTTTATTCTAGCCAGATATTTGCACGTTTGTGTTGTTCATTAAATTTTAGTATAATTGCATAATCATTATCATAAAATGTGAAATATTTAATTATAAGAGAGAGGGGAAACTTCATCCTATCCAGCTATCAGGTCTACTTTCTAGTCGCATCATACCAGATAGTAAAGAATCTAATCTATATACATAGGGGAAAGAAGGGTAATATCAGGAAGTAGAAAGAGGAATCAAAAACCATGTAAAAAACAGTTATAAACTACAACTTTTTAACTGTTTTTTACAGGATTTCTGCAGCAGAAATTCCATATGCAATGCAGCAGAAATTCCATAAGAAAATTAAAATCAATAGCAAATTGTAAAAAAAAGAAAATTATGAAAATGACAATCTAAGTTGACGTCGTCAGTAAGTATCAGCCCCAGAAATTATAAAAATACATAAACTAATTACAAAAGGAAAAATAATTTAAAAAAAAAACCTACTTAAAACCAGAGTTGGCCAAAAATGTAATCGATTACATTTTTTGATTACAGTAATCAATTACTTGTAATCATGATTACAATTTTCAAAAANGCCAAAACAAAGGCGCACCACATTCAGAAAATCCCAAAACAAACTTAAATTGACAAATATTTGCCATTTATGACTTGAGTCGTAATATAATAAATGTAACGGGATTTCAATTACCGCATAGAAATTGGTTGTTAGCAATGCAAAAAACAAAAGAAATGAAACTTGGATTTGCGATGAAATTGGAAAAAATGAAGCTAGTCGAAAAGTGATTACTCAAGTACAAAATTCGTGCATCATAATAAAAATATTGGGTTCTTTAAAACCATGAGGAATTATGTAGCAAAATGTTGAAAAAAGGTTCAAAAAACAACTTAGATTTACCATATATATGTATGGTATTACATAGATTTACAAAGTGTAAATTGTGTGCCTCAATAAGTAATGACTCAAATGTGGAATTCAAAATATTTTTAATTAGAAAGAAAAAATTGTGTTCAGAGGCTTTTACGGGTTGTGCACTCCTACACTTTAGATGTCTATTGTGTGAACCAAATGAAAATTTAGTTTCACTTTGGTTTTGTTATGACTGATAAAAATGAAAACATGTTTATGGTACAAATTTTATTTACATAAAACATAATACTGACTGCATCTACACACAGTAAAAAATATCACAATACAATGGGCTTTGACTTATAACTAAGGTCCGGATTTTGATGACATTTGCATTTTTGGACATTTTTTGTCTTTTAGAGCATTTTTTTAGATTTATAGGGCATTTTTCTTTAAATTTTGGGGCGTATTTTGCATTTTAATGCATTTTTTAAAGTTTTTTGTTAATTTTTTCCAATTTTTATTATTTTTCATCAATTTTCATTATTACACTGGCTTCCAAACAATGAAGAAAATCTATAGAATATTAACAGGTGAAGCAAAATCTTTTCAAATTGAAGAAGAATTGTCAGTAAGTGAGACCGTCTTTTTCAAGTACGCACCTATAACATCAGTAGACGTTGAAAGAAGCTTCTGCAGGAATGAAAATTTACTTTCAGACAAGAGACGCTCGTTTACATTTCAAATTATCAAAAAACATTTAATAATCCAATGTAATTCTGATATTTAGTAATATTATGAGATGGAAGTTGTTATATCCATTAAAGTTTCTATACAAAATAAAAATATTTTGGTGTCAATATATTTTCCTTTTTTTGTTATTTTAGGATATAAAACAAATTTTTCAAACTTTAATGAACGTAGAACAAGTATTGCATTGCTTTATATTTTTTAAATGACTCATAATAATTTTAAAGAGCAAAAAAATTTTTTAATTCAAAATTTTTACTTTATTTGAGGCATTTTTTGTGCAATGTTTGGATTTTTAAGGGCATTTTTTGCACTTTTTAAGGACATTAGTTGAGACTTTTTAGGTCATCAAAATCCGGGCTCTACTTATAACCTTTACTTAAGAAACAGTAGTAAATAAATATTTGAATTATAAATTTTTAAAAATCCCTTGAAGAAAATAAAAATAATTTTTATTTCAATCACAAATTCAAATCAATTTTCAAATATGTAAATACATTGATACGAAAATCAGGACTGTTTTGAAACAAAATTGATTCAGAAATCCTAAAATATGACGAACGAAAACTGGATTAAATTGGCAGCACGTTTAAATAAAAAATAGTATGTCGAAGGAAACTGTATTTTGATACTTAGTACTTTTTCAAGCATTCACATACTGTAGATACTATTACGTTGGAAATCTGAAATTTTGTACAGATACTTATGCTAAGCAATGGTAAGTTTTATGTTCTATCGTGAGCTGACCAACAAAATCTGCAATTTTCTGAATCTTAATCTTTTTTAATCACCACTTTGGACACATAGTTATAAAGAAATTGCATACTCTTCAATGATGGTAGCTGTTAATTTTCCTCCACTGCCACAAAAAAGTTCCAATTTTCTTGGACCTTTTTGACCTACCCTAACATACAACTTTCGCATAGAGTAGCGGGGAAAAAAGAGGGGAAATACATAATCAAACACTCAATTTAATACATTGAAATAAACATAGATTAACCACCTAACTTGTGCGCTCGAGTTAATTCGAGCGCGCTAAGCAGGCCAAACTGTGCTCACTCGAGACGGCCTCGGACTTTGTGGCGAGAGGAGTTCTTAGCTTAGACAAACTATATTCTATCTTTCATTTATCACAAAACAACACAGTGACCACCTGAAATTAGTTTCATAAGATTTCTAATAGATGGCAGAAGAAGTTCAAGTAAAAAAGAAGAACCGATTTTGTCCAATTCACCCTTCATTTTCTGAATGTTAGAATATCTGTATTAGAAATCTCTCTGCTAGAAATCTTATTATTAAAAGGTTTAATTGTTTCAAGAAAAGATGTTGGGTCATTATTTAAGATAAATTTTGACTCTGGTCGGCGAGAGAGAGGGAATCGGGAAAAAGAAGCTCCCCTCTTTAAAATGCGCTATTTTTTGTTTCCATAGCGGCAGACGGCCTTAGACTTCGTAGCGAGGGAAGTTCTTTCGATAGACAAACTATAGTTCGAACCTATTAAAACTGCATCATTTATCACAATGCTAGTTGTGCCTCTAAAACTAATTAAGCAACATTGGTGTATAGCGATTTTTTACGTTTCCCTCTAAACGAATTAGAATGATTTCTCCATCAACTTTTCCTTTTTAGTGCATACTTATATTTATATAAATTATTATCTATTACCAAAAATAATTAAGCATAATTGGTGTCAATGGTAGTGCAGAAAATGTTTACGTTATCCCTAAACACCAAGTTAACACCACTTACGTTAGTATATTTACACCTTCACCTTAGTGCATAGCTTTTATCTTTTCATTATTTCAAGTAATACCTATTACCGCAATTAACAAAGAATCTTTGGCTTCAATAATAGAATGACAAATTTTACGTTTCTTCTAAACAAATTAGTACTATTTCTCCATTAGTTTTGCTCTTCGGTACATAATTTATGCATTTTTATATCAAAAACCGTTAATTGGAAATTATTAGTCTAACAGAGTCACCTTTTAAAGCATAACTATAAGAAAAATTAACACGTGGCTTCATACAATTTTAGGAATGTTAATTTGGTAACGTAGACCGTTTTTGTCACCACGTTCACATTAAGTATTAAATTTATTTGATAAAAGGAAAGAAAAGTATTTATTATAAAACAACGTGCAAAAAACTCCTTTTTTTGTCAACAAGAGCTATAAGGTAGCAAACGCCACTGATGTTATCATTAAAATATTTGAAAAAAAAAATCGTCTGCAGTTTAATTTAAATGAATCTAAGCCAATTTCTACAAGTCCTTTTCATGATTGAAGGTTGGCTTGGTCGAAAAATACATCCCCATATTGGTGATCCGGACGTGATGTGAACACGCCTACCTTGGCAGAAACGCCCACTACGATGTGAACAAGCCTATTTCGATGGATTGTCCAAATTGAATGGCTGACTTGCTACTTGTGACTGTCCTCTTCACGTTGTTGCATCGCAGTCTTGATCACACACAACGCATTCACTCGACTGCTAAAGGCAACACAAGAGCGACCACGATCGTAAACTTAATACAGCTCTCACGAGCAGCACTCAAAAAGTACGGTGATCTTAATACAGCTCTCCCGGCTTCTCACAAAACTGCAATAAATCAACTAGTGGTATCCGTTCATCGAATTCTATCACAGATATAATTCTGGTGCTGGAGTACTGTAATGAATCTACCATTACAAAATATATAATTCCATTTCACTAATATATAAGACATGTTAACTCGATTCTATGGTGAGGTACCTCTTCATAGAAGGTTGACATGGGCGAAAAATATATTTAAAATAATATTTAAAATTAAAAGTATATTGTTATAACAAATTTGGTTGGTTCACAACTGTAATTTAATATTTTTGCTTACCAAAAGGGCGAATGGATTTTAAATACAATTTTCGCATTCATCAATTAGTGCATGAAGCTGAAAGTTAAGTTATAAATCATTTAGCGAATCTCTTTAAACGTAACTCATAATATAGTATATTAATATATAATTTGCACCAAGAAATAATAATTGTATATCAGTTAATAAGATAAGAAAGCCGATTTAAATAACTTTATCATAAAATGTAACTTAGAATTACATTATTCTAATATTAATAATAAAAAAAAACTTTCGTTCTAAACTCTTAAATTAGAAATCAAGAACGCATTAATAACATGCAGGTAGTTTTAACCTTTAAATTAGGGAGGCAAAAATATTTATATAAAAACAATTCGCGATCGCAACGCTCGAGTACGCCATCTAGCGGGAGACTGAAAATATCGGACATTAGTTCCCACAAAACCATTGGCAACGACGGACGCCATTTCATTAGCAGCAAATAAGAAGCAAAATTTCCCTAAGGAAAAGGTAGAACTTCTTGAAAAAACTAACCAGAACATGCCAAACATTGAAGCAGAACACGCCAAGCATTTGAAGAACAATTTCTCAATAATTTTTTCCTTTCTATTACCAACAACAGAACTTCCAATTTCATGATCACTTGCTGTTACAGATTGTGTGTATTACGGTAAAATAATTTTTTCTGTCTTCAATTCATTACAAATTAAAGTGAAGGATCCCGTTTTGAGANAAACCGCCCGTCCGCCCATTCTCGGCGATCAAAAATTCCCCGCGGAAAACGAATTTCTCGAATCCGACGTCCGCGCTGACGGCCATTTTCCCGTTAATGTTCGTGATACTTTTTCAATTTTTGTTATTAGAATTGATGTTTTCTCTGTCTGGGAGTACTGCAGTGGTTGAAGGGGCTTTTAAGCAATGAACTTACAAAAAAACACATTGTGCAATGGTCTTAAACAAGAAGCGTTAAACGCAATTATGAACAAAAACATAAATGGAAAACCCCTTTCAGATTTCTGTGCAGAAACCTCTGTAAATCATTGGCTCGATTGTGGAACTGGCAAACGTCATATTTGATTCATTTAAGAAACGCAGTACCCTCGGATAAATTGACTTTCCAGATAACTTGACCTTTGTCATTTAAATTATTTCATAAAAGAAATAAGCTATTTCATAAAAGAAATACTAGGTTACTATTAGTAACCTAGTATTTCCTTTATTACTGTATAATATAATCCTAGTACTTGCAATCCTAGTAACTACTAATTCATTGTGCAATTTATATAAATGTTTTCAATAAATAAGAGAAAATTATATTTTTATTTATTTCGAAGCTACGGGTTAGTTTCAAAGGAGGAGGGTACATTGTTGAACAAGCCGTCATCGGGGACGGGTAAAATTTCTGAGTTTCTTCGAGCCTTGGTTCCAATAAAATTGTATCGATTAAAAAGTTTTTGAACACGAAGAATTCAAAAAATCGCAATTAAAAAAGAACGAACGTAAAGGCAATTTTCCATAAAAATCATTTGTCATCTTTTAATAAACTTTAGTATTTTAAATTTTTAATCAAATTTAAATTAATTTAGGCTTTGTTCATTAATCTTGAAATTAAAATAATGATGTGTAATATAATCTTGACAAAATTTGCAGGTAAGCGTCTCATACAACAACGCCCCCTATAGTTCGTTGCGATCGCGAATAATAACAGTGCAGGTAATTTTAACATTTAAATTAAGGAAACACAAATATTTATATAAAAAAAATAATTCTATGACTAATAACAATTTTATGATGATGACAACCATACTAATATGAAAATTAATGTGGGAAAACTGGATCCTACCATGTTATTTTCCAGCCAATAAAAATGTATTGACAACAATGGAAAACAGCTACACCATCATTAGATTTTAATCTATAGTAAGAAATGGTGTGAACTACAGTATGTTCTATTGTTTTTATATTTTCACTATTTTAAATTATCAGTAATAAAATAGTGAAAAATCGAAATTTTTGTTGCAATTCACCGAAGGAAAGGGTTCAACATATGGTATTAAGAAGCAAATAATCTCATGGAATCACAGCACATGTAGATATATTTTCAAGATACGATAAAATTAAAAAGACATTGTTGTACTTAATGCTTTGATTTTATTTTTCGTTTAACTATCGAGCGTAATGGATCTGTTAGTAATTGCATCGTTTTTTGGATTTTTATTCTGGGGCAGTTTAGCTATACCTGGTAATATTTTTCAGATAGATTATTTATATCTTTTTAGATAATATTACTGTGTTACTATTTACAAGTTGAAGGGTTTGTTGAAAAACCATTATTATTTTAAAATATTTGTGCCTACAAAAATGAGATTAAAATTTTCCTTCTTAGATCAAAAATGCTTTATATATTTTTTTAGATCATATTACGGAGTTACTATTTACAAGTTGAAGGGTTTGTTGAAAAAACATTATTATTTAAAAATATTTGTGTTGACAAAAATGAGATTAAAATTTTCCTTCTTAGATCAAAAATGTTTTATATATTTTTTTAGATAATATTACTGAGTTACTATTTACAAGTTGAAGGGTTTGTTGAAAAAACATTATTATTTAAAAATATTTATGCTGACAAAAATGAGATTAAAATTTTCCTGAACTTCTTTGATCAAACAGATTGTTTTAAAAAAAGGCATTTCATCTCAACGAATTTAAGGAAGGCATAGTGAATTATATGTTATTATTTTAATATCAGTATATATATGTATAATATTTAATAGCATATTTATGGAATAAATTTTATCCTGGCAATGGAATAAATCAAAATTCAGGAAAAAAGTTCTTTATTACACTACCAGAAGATTTTAGGAAATAAAATTTTTAAGGGATACAAAAATAAAAGGATGGGTGTACGATTTACTTATAATTTAATTTCTTCAGTCAACAAATATTTATATTTCCAGAAAGTTTTGTATTTCCTTTTTAATTATTTCCACAAACACATAAGCATCGAACATGATTTATCACTATTTTGTAACAAACTTATTCGACTATGGAAAAACACTTCTTTGGTAATAATTTAGTACATTATTTCTAATGTCACGAAGTAAGGACTTCGTATGTTTTAAACAAGTAGAGGAAATAATTAAAAAATTTTGCAATTTCATTTTTTTCTTTTCGTGATTCAAGAGATGAAAAACATTTCAAACAATTTTATTTACCATCTTTTCGAATCTGAAATCGTTTATAAATATGATGCTAACTTTTACAACTCAATGAATACACGATAAATTAATTCTTACAAAAAACTTGTTAAGGTTGCGATTGCAAAAAATGGCAAACCGTATCTATTTTATTTACTTTAAAACACATTTTTTGCCTCCCCCCCTTTAAATAAGAAGCAAAATAATCTATATTTTATAAAATACCAGTTAAATACCCGTTCTTCGCACGGGTTGAATAAAATATAAGTAAAGAATAAATAAATCAGAATTGGGAAGCACTACGAAATCATGTTCAAAACTCAAAAGCATATGACGAAACAATTAAAGAGCTTGATGAAAGAACCAGGAAAGTAAATTTTTAGGGGAATTAATCAATCAGAGAATATAATAAATAGTAGTTGCATCAATATGGGCATGTTTAATATAATAGAACTTTTTTTGCCATCGCTTACATCTTAACATAACTAATCACGTCAGTTTTTAGTATGCTTGCATAACTTTTCTTTCAAAATAGGCTAAGGTAAACAAAATAAAGCAAAGAATTATTAGTCCCGCCTCCTTATAAGTTGCTAATAAAATATTTTGGAAGCACCTTTTTTTACGTTCTAAAAATGTTATTTACCTGTTTCTTCCACGAAGTTAATCCAATATAGCGATCCAATATAGAATCCGATCCAATTAAAGAACTTGGTGGAAAAGCCAGGTAAGTGAAATTTTTATCGGAATTAATGAATCAGAGAAAATAAAAAAAGGTGGTTGTACCAATACGGATATGTTTAATGTTACAGAACTGTTTTTGCCTTCACTCAAATCTTAACATAACTAATTACATCAGTTTTCAGTATGCTTGTATGATTTTTATTTCAAATTAGGCAGGGGTAAATAAATAAAAGCAAAGAAATATTTGTCCCTCTTTCTAATAAATTGGTAATAAAATAGTTCGGATGCAACTTTTTTATAGTTCTGAAAATGTCATTTACATGGTTCTACCACTAAGTTTTTAAATTAATATAGTTAAAATATTAATTTTGTTTTATTTAAGAATTTTTTTTTTTGGTCTTTTTCGTTTTTGAAATAAGCAAAACTCGTTTTTTGTTGTTTATCCAATTAGAATAAAGAAAAAAATGTATTTAGCATCACATGGCATGATACTATTGCACTATCAAGTAACTTTTTCCAAAGTATCAATGCTAAAACTTAGTATTGGTGCTGTTTTAATAATCACCAAATATATCAATATAATAATTTATACCTATATTAGTATGTTTGGCACTTACTACGTAACCCTTCAGCATTTAAGTTATGTGAAAAATATATTTGTCAGTAACAATCAACTAAAGTCAAAATTTCTTTTAAAAAATAAAATTTTTGTTAGAACTTGATGAGGTTTTTGAAACATGGCCATTTCTCTCTCTGACATTTAATTTACTATTAAAATATTTATAAGAAGTAGAGGAACAAAGATTTTTTAATTCTAATTCATTAAAATATTAATATACTATCTTTGCTACCATTGAAAGAAATATTTTCTGAAACTACGGAACAAAGAATTCTTATCAACTTATACACTGTTGTAGAATTCTTATCAAAGCTGCACCAATTACCGAAATACCAGTAGTTGATATTACCGTCAGTGGTACACAATAATTCAGCGTCATCTGTGAATGGCGATTTTCCTAAACAAATTTCCTATTAATCTTTCTTTCCCTTAACTTTGCTTTTTATCACATATCTTTTTATTTTATTTTATTTCAATTAATATATACTAGGAGGCTCCGCCCCCTGCTCGCTAACGCTCGCCAACCCCCGAGAATTGCTACACAATCCTAAGTGGTTCACGCCATGAACCATGGCTCGCTGCGCTCGCTCGCCAATGAACACAATGTTCTAGCACAAAGACATAATATATTATCATCAAAGACATAGTATTTTATCATCAAAGACATAGTATTGTACTTATGTAGAAGAATTCTACCAATGTTCTTATTGGCTTTTAAAAAAGTATATTAGCTATTTAGATTGTACATGGTGAAAAAATCAAAACATTAGCTAAATAAGAAACATATTAGCAAAATAAATTATCAAATATTGCTTCACTAATATTCTGCA